CGTTCCAAGCATCATCCTTCGCATCTCAAGTCGGGTCTAACGAGCACACATGAAAAAATTCCCAAAAGACAAGGACAACGGTGATGAAGATGAAAATGATCTTCAGATGATAAAAATCATCATTACTCACTACCGTTAAGCAGGGCAGGGTGTGCTGGAGATTCTGGGGATACGTAGTGATGACTATCATCCTGTTCGTGATGTTACGCCGACGGTGCTGGCGTGAGAGCTAAACTTTGTGCAGCATCACCAGCACGTATATGTGTATCAATAAGATAAGGAGAACGAGACAAGCTACTGGCAGGATCAACCTAGTTTGATGATCGCCGTGATGATGATCATGAGGATGACGGTGAGCATCATGATGATGTGGATGCTGATGATGACGCATCTTCGGTTATGCTCATGTGCCAGCCGCGCTTCCCGTGCGCCTCCCCTCTTTGGCGAGGGGTCGGCGGAGCTACCTACCTACATTCCTACCTACATGCATGCACGCACGCATACATACATAGATGCATACATACATTTCATATAGAAGTGCATGTTGAGGCCCATGGCAAAGAAAGACACTTTAGACCGCAGAATAGCCTGTATTCGTGTCATCGACGCCCACCAGGTATGCTTTGGCGCCTGAGCGGAGCCTGCCTTAGCGCGCAAGCGGGCACGTGGATAGTGGACTTGCGCCCTTGGTGGTTCCCAGCCGCCCGGTTCCTTAGCTGTTAGCTTGTTAAATCTTCTTAGTGTTTACTGGTTGAATTTTCATTTAACCCAATAAACGTTAACCACTTTGGCGGGATACTTGGCGGGATCCACTGGAAGGCTGCTCTGGTGGATACTCGGCGGGATCCACTGGCAAGGCGCTCTCGAACTTCTCTGGGATACTCAGCAGGATACTTGGCGGGATCCACTGGGGAGCCGCTCTGGTTAAAACCGCTCTGGTGGGGGCCGCTCTGGCAAAATACTTGGCGGGATCCTCTGGCGAGCCGCCCTGGCGAGCTGCTCTGGCAGAATACTCGGGGGCCGCTCTGGCGGGATACTTAACGGGATCCTCTGGCGAGCCGCCCTGGCGTACTCGGCGGGATTCACTGGCGAGCAGCTGGCGAGCAGCTCTCGGCGCGATCCACTGGCGAGCTGCTCTGGCAGGATACTCGGCGGGATCCACTGGCGAGCTGCTCTGGCGGGATCCTGGGTGAGGGCGTGGTGTAGAAGCATCGCAAACGCGGGTTCCAACATGAAATCTAACAACCCCTTCCTGTCGGGTGGGGAACAACTGTCTTACCACAGTTGCTGAAGCAAATCAAGTTGCTTCATGAAAAAACTAAGGGGTTGCGCCAAGGCCCCCAAAATCTACACGACCCTTTCACTGGATTAAATCAAGTAGCACGCACCAAAGCAGAAGACTGCCCGGTCATCGGCGTTTGAACATACATCACAAATGTACCGAGCCGCCGAAAGATTGCCTTTGCGACAACCTGCGGAAAAATGACCTGCCGCTGCTGGCCCCAGGTTCGGCAAAGCTCGGTCTGGGCCGTGGTCACCAAAAAGAATCCTCATCTAAAACATCTCTAATATGTCCATCTCTACCAAGTAAAGCAACCGGTCTTTTCACCACATGTGGTTTGGACCACGGCACTCGGCTGTCCTCAGTATCCCACCAGAGCAGCCCGCCAGTCGATCCCGCCCAGTATCCTGCTGAGTGTCCCAGAGTAGCTTGCCAGTGCATCCCGCAGAGTATCCCGCCAGAGTAGCTCGCCAGTGGACCCTGCCAAGTATCCCACCAGAGCAGCCCGCCAGTGGATCCCGCCGAGTATCCCGCTGAGTATCCCAGAGTAGCTCGCCCGCCAAGTATCCCGCTGAGTATCCCTCGCCGCTGGATCCTGCTGAGTATCCGGCCAGTGTCGAGCCGGAGCGGCTAGCCAGCATTCGCCAGTGGATCCCGCCAGTATCCCGCCAGAGCAGCTCGCCAGTCTGGTTTTGCTTAATGTCCCGCCCGGCGCACAGTTGGGTGTAAATTTAACGTTGGTGCTTTCGTGTTTTGAGTGTGCCCTGAGGCTCGGAAAGGGTGATACTTTTGTGTTGCTTTGGGTTGTGAATAAGCAACTTTGCTGAATCCCCCGTCGGGTTTCTTTTTGGAAGGGGCTTTGCTTTTGTTAACGGAACCGATGTTTGAGTTCTCGAGATCATCTCGCAGACAAGTGGAGTTTGACACACAGACAAAACCATGCTTGAATTCACACAACCGTGTTCACGGTCGTAAGCTCGTGAGTGTGGAGGGTGGGGATTGCTCGACGCGAAGTAATTGTTTCTCGCTACGTGTTCACTTTTTTCGAGATCTGGAATGGTACTACGACTGGAATTCGTTTTAATCACGAGGGTTCTGGCAGTGCCACAACTGGATTAAGGGGGGTCGGCCAAACCGTGTGGATGCATTGAAAGCAGCATTGGCTGGCAGACAGCAGGAAGGACAGTTTTTAATCAGCGGCAGTTTGTCAAGTGGGTATCAACATTGAGCCAGATTTTCTGACCCTGGCACGATGAACGAGTCCTTGGACTAGCACCAAAAATCCCCTAGAAAGTAGCTAGCTCCCCGGCTCTGTCGCTGTCTTCTCTTGAAGCACGCAGAGTTCACTTGAAGGGAAAACGATCTTGCCTGGCTCCGAACAAATGACTAGGTCCCCCAGTAGTGCCCTGTTACCTCTTCTTTTTTGGGGCAGGGTTCCCTTACTAAAATAGAGAGGAGAACAAAAAATGGCACCCTTGTTCTAACCTCTCAGATCTGGAGGGCCTAGATGACGGAGTTAAAAGTAGACATCGGGAGGCCCATGGCCTCCGTTTCGGTTTGCTTCGCTTTCCTCGAGAGAGCCGAGGCGGGCGCCGGAGCTTCGGCTCCGGGCCTCTCAGGGCCTGGAGCTCAGGGAAACGGATCGCAGTCCACTGAACAGCGGTTTGGGGTGGGGGGGGGGTGCTGGTGCGGTTTTGTTTTGTTTCACTTCCTGAGCTTCTGGACTTCAAGCCTTGTTTTGGTTTGGGCCGTTTTAGTGGTAAACAGAAAGTTCAGACCCTTTTTGGCCCATCCTGAGGAAAGGGAAATCGGAGAACAAACAAAAAAAAACGCCAGAAGGGGCGAACACCCTTTGCGGCAGTGCTCCACTTGGTTACCCATCAACCGTCGCTTGGCCAAGAAGGGGGCTCGCCTCCCCTATGAACATCCTCCCTATGAACACAGCATCCGAAAAGGGAGTCACCAGGAAGGTGAATCCTCTACAAAGCATGGGTTTTTAGGTCCCATGTCAATCAGGAGAGTAACCGTGTTGGTGTACTCAAAGGCAAGCTTTCCTTGGAAGGGGTTCCCTGCAAAATGAACCCACTAAAAAAGGGTGTCCCCGTTTGTCACTGTGCTGTAGGGTATGGGTCAAACTGAAACCAGGAATTGGACCGCAGGCTTTAGTCAATGCTTCCTTTCTGGTTCCAGTTTGGGTACCCATTTGGCTGCGGCTGAAAAAACTGGTACCACAAAGGGTTGCCCTGGTAAGTGGAAACATGCGGTTTGCTCTCCATTTTGAGCCAAACCCATGTTTGATCTAGAGCCACATGCATAGGCGTCATTGGTTGTTTTGGTAGGAAAAATAGATGGCGATTCCTGGTTTTTACCTGATGGTTTAATCATCTAGGTCCCCCAGTAGTGCCCTTTTGCCCCTTTTTTTGGGGGAGGGTTCCCCTACTAAAATAGACTACAACAAAAAGGGTAGCCTTATTCTAACCTCTCAAATCTGGAGGACCTAGTCATCTACCAGGGAAACCCATCGATTTCCCCTAAAAGGACTGTGGCCACCCGGCCGTCTTGGCTTAGGCACAGCGCCGGCGGTGCTTGCGCAGCTGGAGGACTTTGCCTGGAGCGAGCTGCGGCCCATCCTCTTCGAGGTGCGGAACAGCGGGGCGAGGCGTCTCGCTAAAGCGAATGGGGTTGGAAACGTGGATGCATATATAGATAATATATCTTTGTTGCATTTTGCTTGATGTTAGGACTTTAACTTGTTGCCAACTAATCGGTTTTCAGGGGAGCAGAAAGCAGCCGATATATATATATATATATAAACATCTGTCAAAACAGGGAACCCTGGCAAAGTGGTAGTTAGTTGTTGGTTTCCCTTTAAAACCCCTAACATGGGTACCCACAAACAGAGACCCGTAGAAGTTCGGCTTTGAAGCATGTGTTACCCAAGAAACAGGGAATTGGAGAGAATGGTTTTAGAAGAGAACCTGCTTGGAAAGACCAGTTGTCTTCTTCCGAACAAAGGCAGCTCACTAGATGACAGATTGGCTAACTGGCTAATTAGCTAGCCATGTAGCCAGCACACGTAGCCCTCTTACGGCTGACTTGCTGTCACTGGCTGACTCGTGCGCTATCTGGCTGACTAGCTCACTACTCATTAGGTTAATTGAAAACGCTCTTAGCCGACAAGTTGTATACCTGGGACTTGGCTGGCCATTTGACTACCTGACTACATCGTGACTTGCTAGCAATGCTAGGTCGCCAACTTGAACTAGTGCATTCAGCTAGCTAGCCACCTGGTGTTGCAACCAGCTGACAGCTGCCATGCAGCGTATGAATGGCGCACTTGGCGGGAAACCACTTTGGGTTGACTTTATAGATGAAACACAAGTAAACCAATCGTTCTCAAATTGGGGTCGAAAAGTTGTGCTTTGGTGTCTTTTTTTTGTGTTTCCCTGGACTTCGCACCCAAAGGTTTTATCGCCGACATGCCTTGCATGGTGCACCAGGCAATAAGAGTTGTCGACTCACAAACTCGACAGCTTAGAGCTTGTTGATGAGGAACTCGGTGAGGGCGGCGTTGTATACTGCAAATCTCACTTCATCTTTTTTGAAGAACCACAAATTCGAGGGATCCCAAAATTTCGCCTCCCGCCACCCGTCACGGAGCGCGAAGCGCGTGGCGAAGCTTCTCGAGGCTTGTCTATCGCGACGCCTGGACGAGGAGATGACCGCCACTTGGGCTCAAGAGCTCATTTCCGTGGCGCCCCCCACGCCCCTTTGGGTCGAATGAAGGGTTTGAAATACGAGGAAACAAAAACCGAGCAAGAGGTCTAAGCGACAAAACACCTGTTGAATGGCATTGGTGATCATGTGTTAAGCTTCTTGGGTTGGAGTGCTCTTTTGTCTTTTGCATCGGGGATGGCAATGCCCATGATTTGAGGATGGGGCGATTTGCGATTGCAATCATTCATGCCTCCGCAATGCGTGGATTCCATTCTGAGCAGTTTTGTCTTGTCAAGGCTGGCATTGCCCAGGAGTCGTGGGCTCGAGGGTTGACTTTTGATTTTTGCCAATGGCATCGCGACGCTTTGTCAGTGCTCCTTAAAAGACACATTTTGCAACCGTTTGAAACATGGCTTTTAACACCAAAACAAAGGGAAACCACCATTTACAAGTTGCAATGTTCAGGTGTATTCACTGTAAGGATCCCTGTTTATCGGATTGTTGAGTACCAGCCGACTTTTGCTCCCGGATCGTCGGATCCTCCCTTATCGGCTCGCCAATGAGCAACTTTGGCCTTAAAGGCGAAGCACTGCACGCAACGTGATTGCAGCCTGGGCCGTTTATGCGTTCGGGTGTCCTGAATGAGGCTTGCCCCCTCTTTGTAATCGCGTCCCAAAAGTTTCGAATTTCGAATGACAGGTCACTTGACAGGGTGCTCCTCTTGGCCCCAAGGGGACGCCGCAGTGTCATGAGTCAGGCGGTGTTCATATTTGGGGGATTTTCGTGGCAAACCCCCTCCCTTTCTGTTCAGCCGCAAGAGGTCGAGGGCTCTCCGACATACCTCTGCCAACTTGCCTTCCAGCTCTCCAGAGATCCCGTGGCTTTCGGTGTTAAGGAAACATAGCGTCAAAACATGTTGAGGGGTGCCAAAGCAAACGATTGCACCTATGAACATATATATATATATAGTATTTCCCCTCATTATTGCCAGATGGCTTTGCTGGTCCTTGTCTCATCCCTCTTTGTATTGTGTTTTTGTCTGTCTCACTCTCTCTCGCTCCCTCTGTCTCTCAGATTTGTTGTTCTTTGTTTCTTATTGACTTTCTTTGTTGTTTTCTCTCTGTCTCTGTGCCCCCCTCTCTTAATTGGTTGTGGGATGTGTAATATTCAGGTACTTTGCAATAGCGCTGTTCGGACACACCTTTTGCTGATTGCTCCTCAGGTTAGGCGAATACTTGGTGATTCATGAGCGGTCAACCGGAGATCAGAGATCGCCCGGGAAGGCTTGGTACTGTCTAGACTTTGTCGCGCGGATGTTGCGCAAGTTCCACGAGAAACCACAGGAAGCTACACGTTGCGTGAGGTGGCGCTAATCTTGCCAATGCAACCCACTTTTGAGCTTTGAAGCCTGTGACTGTTTGGTTCCCCGACTTAACCAATGCCGCCTATGGGAGAGAAAAGGTAAAGGTTGGGCAATTGCAGGTTTGCAACCACAATTCAATATGATCATCTTAGCTGGGGCGTCATTTCGGCTAAATGCCGGCTTGTGCATAGTAAGTTGAAGATGTATGCAGTGCTTTGAAGCCTCAACCCTAGTGCCGGAGCTGAGGCTTGGTCACTGCTCTGCGACATCATTTCGCAGTCCGCAGCTCAGCCTGTCAGCTCAGTCCAGCGAACAGCTTGACCAAACAAAGCGAGCGCTGCGAGCAACTTCGACATTCGGGTCGTGCTTGAATGGAAAGGTGTTTGATCATAGTTCCGTGAATCTCACTTCGCACTCTTTGACACTGTGTTCACTAAGCAAAGTGTTTTGCATTATCCAAAGAAAACACGGCATACCTGCAAACAAAGCTAAAATCTGGGGTTTTAGCAAAAGAGAAACACAACACTGTATAAGGATCGCAGGAAAACAAAGAGACGGAAGCTTGACCCTTTTGCTGGAACGCTCAAGCGACCGGGCATGATTGGGCATGATTGTCAAGGGTCGAGTAGAATTGGACAGCCGGGGTAAGGGTTGCCAGCAATGGGACAATGAGTTAACTAGTTGTTTGTGACCAATGACTAGCGGAGCGCGGTTGTGTTGCGCCCCGCGACGTGCCCCAAGCAATTCAATCCAGAGACGCGGGCGGCAAACCACTTCTGCGCAGAGAAATGTTTGAGGACATACTTTAATATATTGCTTGAAACATGCGCAAAAGCAGTTTGCAATCGTGCACCATCCCATGTGGCTTGGACTCTTAATCTAGGGAATGCGCTCAAAGTGAAAATGGCTGGAATTCCCATGCAGATATTCGCATCTCTTTTCTCATGGTATGTCAAACTACCTCCCTAGCCAACTACCCCCCCCCAAGGTAATATGACTGGGGCTAAAGTAAGACCCCAAGTCGCCAGGTGAGCAGACCTGGTGAGTCACTGAAACGTGAGGTATGACCAGCTGGCCATGCAGCTGCAAGTTCTGATGCTGATGCGCAGCTGTTGGAATGACGAAGGACTCCGTGGTATCATTGGTATCCTAGGTCTCCCAGTAGTGCCCTTTTACCGATTCTTTTTTTGGGGAGGCTTCCCCTACTAAAATAGACTACATTAAACTGCAGAAAAAAGGGTGACCTCTCTACTGGAGGACCTAGTATCTGTTCTGAGTTCTGTGGTCCTTGCCAGACTTTTGGGCTTACCTTGCCTTTTTGGTGTTTTCCCATCATTTTTCCTGTACCAGCAAAAAGTGTGCACTTTTGGCAGGTCGAAGATTGGCCATGTGGGGGTGCAGGGGGGAGGATTGCAGAACCAGAGGGAATGCAAGTCTTTGGAACCTACACATTGCTGAGGAGATATGCTGGTGTACCGGGGATTCAGTCTAGCCATTTTGGCACTTGCTGACATGAAGATGAATAACCTCAAGTACGTAAATGTTAAATGTTGAATCTAGGATTTTGTGCTGGAATCTGCCCTAATAAGACTTGTGCTGGGATTGGCTTAGTATTGGTTTAGAACTGGGGTATTCTAAAAGAAGTATCGGGGTTCCGGGGGTCTGGGAAAAATGATATTTCATCATCGGGTGCTTTTATTAAAGTGAGAAGGGGTATTGGGCAGTAGTCGGAGAGTGCTGGTTGGGGATTCCATATTAGAAGTTTGGAATTGTACAAAATGTAAATAGCCTAGCGAGACGCCCAGACTCGGCGCCCTGGGTGAAGGCTTGTTGAATCCTGCGATTAATGAACATATGCGACTGGTACACCTGAGAGCGCCATGCCATGCTCGCTAGGGCATCTTGCAACTGATCCCCCTCTGTGCAGGATCGGTCAAAGATTTGAGCGCCTTGGCTGCATTTGGCAAGCCCGGGCCAACGCAACACCTATTGGTCCCAACTCTCCGGGAAACAGGGTCTGGGCAGCCCACGGGAAGACTATGGGATGGCTTGTGACACATCTGGTGTGTCTTCCCAACCAACCGACATGGGAGTTGCCTTCTTTCGAGAGGCAAGCGGATTTGATTTCTTTGGTGTCACCCCCCTCGATATCGAAGGGGTCCGAGCCAAATGTAGGGTTTGTCTCTGGATGGGGACCGCCAAAATGGGTGGGGGCCCCAGATGGATAGGAAACCCCTCCCACAACATAAACAACCCCAAGATACACAACAAGACAAATGAAGCGGCCCAACAATACTAGAACCAACTAAGCTGCCCTAAAACATTCACTCCTCATAGGCGCCTGCTGGGATCTCAAACACGAGCTCACCGATATCGCGCCATTGGAGGAGCCCGTGTGCTTCCTGGCCCAACACGGGGGGAAGCCGGAGAGTCCGAAGATGTCTTGCAGCCTTTTTTGGCGGTGCGAAGTAACCTCCCTCCCACTGACATAGCACCTGCTCGGGTACCTGGAAGATCAATTTTCTCTTGAAGCAACCCTCTGTGAGGTGCTATGTTACTTGGAGAGAGGGTAGCTCATAGTGTTTGCTTGTCAAGCAGGACTAAACAAAAGAGGGGATGGGCAGCTGGGCATGTCTCTTTCAGTTCCCCGATTTTAACACCTAGTTTTCAAGAGAACCACTGGGAAGATCACTGGACAAGTGTCTAAAAAGTTTGGAATTGAATGTTTGGCGTTCTGGGAGACAAACATGTTTCGCCCAGGATTGTGTGTCGCCCTCCGCTGAAAATCAAAGAGGAGTGGCTCTTGAGTCAAAGGCCCTTTCAGGGAGGATACGGGACTTGTGGGGAAAGCGAGTCCATTCTGCCGCGTCAGCCTTGGGGTCTTCTCGTTTGTTCGTCGCATGGCGATCTGATATCTCCATTCAGTGGCGCAGGAGCCTCCTTTAAAATACTGTTTACATGAATGAACACCCCCTATTCATAAACCCCTGTTTATTAATATGGAGGTGTCCCTGGTTTTAATGGGGATTGTTGATTTTTGGAGGGAACACCCCCCCTATTAATAAACTGGGGTTGAATTTTTCGGGGGATCAACACTATCCACCTCTTCCGCGCTTCTGAAACGAGGGACCCGCATTGAAAGTCCCCAAAGACCGATCCACTGGCCCTCCATGGGGGCATTCGCAGTTCCATGTGTGTCCGGCGGGAGAAAACTGAGAACCCGGTGACCGGTTAGCTCTTGCTCATGTGAAATGACTGAAATTTACCCGGACGAACGGCAGCTGTTGCTTATTTATTGATGACAGGCTGGGGAGCCTTTGTCAGTGGGGTGGATGGCATGTGTTATTTGAGTTGCAACAACAGTCGCTTTCCTCATGACGGATGCTGAAGGATGCCAACGATTCCAGGTGCATCATAAGCCACCCAGATGCTGTTGGACACCTTACTTGATGAGGCCATCATGTTGATGGCGCCACCAGCCTTCACCCACAGCCACATTCTTGGACGCCCTTGTGTCACGTCCTGTCTCTCAGGGGTCACTACTGTCCCCTTCTCGGTAAACATCGCCTTTTGGGCTGCCTTAAGCACGACTTTTGAGGGTTTTGAGGAGTCCAGAAAAACGCGAGTGCTCTCCTTGCGTAAGCTCAGATTGTCCTAGGGTGAACCGTCCATTCTTTCACCCATGACTCTGGTTCTTTGACAACTTTCTGAAAGAACGGAATGCGGAGGAGCACACCTAAATGTTTGAATGTTGTTTGCAGGCAGATTATCCACCTCACTAAGGGGCGTGTGACCTTACACAGAAAGGTTCCGTTCCCTTTCCCTGGGATGCTTTACTTTTAGGATCACGCCTATGGAACTTGGGGACCCCCCCACCCCGCTTTTTCTTGAAGGGGGACATTGTAAGTGCATGAGAGGTGAATGACAATTCATGAACATTCATTCACCCAGTCCTTCAACGTTGTCGTCCCCTAAAAAAAATGGAAAACAGGAAAAAAAACAACAAAAACGTGTGATCCCCGACACCATCCCCTCAGCAAAGGTTGATATTTCAAGTTGGTGAATGAGTCTGCCTATATAAAAGCTCACCTGGGGGTCCATCATGGTCCAACGGTGACATCTTTCTACAATTGAAAGCACATTTTAATACACAACAAGCTAGCAAAGCATTCATCGGCCCTAGAGCGGGCCCTAGAGCGGGCCTCAGAATAGACAAACATGATGCAGATTCTTAGCTTGGTTTCCCTTCAACCCCGCCCAAAAATATAGGTCCACCTCGAGGGGAGTACCCTCCCCCAGACTAACATGGAAGCTCCCAGGACCCCTTTGGAGAACTTGTGTTCATTTACAGAGGCCTTCTGGGAGCTTCCATGTTAGTCTGGGGGAGTGTAGGTCCACCTCAAGGGGAAAGTTTTTTCAGGTGCATGATCGGTTCACAGAGGCTGGCGGCGCTTGGGCCAACAGCGCGCCTTCAGGGCTGAGCTGTTGATCTGGAATTCGCTGCCCCAGGCGTGGACGTGTCGCGCAGCCAAAGCCAAAAACGCCGTGGGCAAAATCACGGGGGAAAAGGGGGGAAACTATAGTGGTGGTTTTACTTTGGTTTCCCTTTTTTAACGCAAAAAGGTTACCTCGGAACCTAACTGGGGCGGTCATGGGAGCTTTTGGTTGGGAGTCACGATTTCAATTGAGTTCATGTCAGCTCGCCAGCTCGCACGGGCGCAGAACTCGGCAAATCGAAAGGTCACTGCGCCACGTACCAAGCAAACCAACATAACCTAGGTCCCCCCGTAGTGCCCTTTAATAGACTACACAAAAAATCGGGTACCCTTATTCTAACCTCTCAAATCTGGAGGACCTAGTAACTCTGCACATCGAAAGGTGACAGCAGAAAGCAAGCCTAAGCCGGTCGTCAGCAGTCTGCGCAGAAGAAGGCCAAAGCAACAAGAGGCAGCGCAGGGCTTCAGTCAAAAGGGCAAGGACCTGTGAAGCAAACAAATGTATGAGACAGGAAGCAGCACCTATGAAAGGATAGCTGCAGGTGGTCCCAAGCAAGAGGTTGCGATCAAGAAGTTGCCAGCAGGTAGAAGCCAACAAGGGCGGTAGGCAAGATGTGTTTTGCAAGCGCGAGGTTGCGAACGATAGGACAAAGATGCATGCAATGTGACGTAAGCTTGTGGCGGGGTGAGTTAGAAAGCAGGAGCTGACATGAGTCAACATAAGCCGACCACACACACACACACTAGCAAATAAGCACAGGCACACAAGGTAAGCACAAACCCGCGAAATGCATGACACAAGCACATGCATTCGCTCATCAATCAATCAATCAATCAATCAATCAGTCAATCAATCAGTCAGTCAGTCAGTCAGTCAATCAATCAAGTTATCAACCAATCATCAATCAATCAATCAATCAATCAATCAATCAATCAATCGATCCAGCAATCAAGCTATCAAGAAATCCAGCAATCCGGCAATCCATCAACCAATCAATCAATCAATCAATCAATCAATCAATCAATCAATCAATCAATCAATCAATCATCCAATCAATCATCCAATCATCCAATCATGAATCAATCCATCCATCCATCCATCCATCCATCCATCAATCCATCAATCCATCAATCCATCAATCCATCAATCCATCAATCCATCCATCCATCCATCCATCCATCCATCCATCAATCAATCAATCAATCAATCAATCAATCAATCAATCAATCAACCCATCAATCCCCCCCATCAATGCATCAATCCATCAATCCATGCATCCATCCATCCATCAATCAATCAATCAATCAAGCTATTACGAAATCCAGCAATCCGGCAATCCGGCAATCCATCAGCCAATCAATCAATCAAGCACGCAGGCAGGCAAGCAAGCAGGCAGGCAGGCACGCAAGCAAGCAGGCAGGCAGGCACGCAAGCAAGCAAGCAAGCATGCAAGCAAACTCACACACACACACACACACACGCACGCACGCACGCACGCACGCACGCACGCACGCACGCACGCACGCACGCACGCACGCACGCACGCACGCACGCACGCACGCACGCACGCACGCACGCACGCACGCACGCACGCACGCACGCACGCACGCACGCACGCACGCACGCACGCACGCACGCACGCACGCACGCACGCACGCACGCACGCACGCACGCACGCACGCACGCACGCACGCACGCACGCACGCACGCACGCACGCACGCACGCACGCACGCACGCACGCACGCACGCACGCACGCACGCACGCACGCACGCACGCACGCACGCACGCACGCACGCACGCACGCACGCACGCACGCACGCACGCACGCACGCACGCACGCACGCACGCACGCACGCACGCACGCACGCACGCACGCACGCACGCACGCACGCACGCACGCACGCACGCACGCACGCGCGCACGACGCACGCACGCACGCAGGCCGGCGCCCGCGCACTCACGCGCGAACACAACCAGCCCCTGCGCGTGCACGCAAGCATACATCGAAAGGTGCAACTCATAGGCAACATGGATTGCCGACGCAACCTGAGCTTACCTTGGCAGAGTGATACGTGTAGGAGACCAGCAAGAAGCGGGGCTTCGCTGCGAGCCCACACAAGATGAATGACCAGAAGCGGCCAGGCAGCATTTTATGCAGATGTCAAGGCAAGACCAGGTGTCAAGGTTAGACCAGGGCTCCCTCAACTCACCAGCTCGTGTCTTGGGACCAGTTTCCTGTATCTTGCACCTTTGTCAGACATTCAACCCCCCAAGCATTTGGGCACCACGGAAATACCACTTGGCATGCACTTCTTGTCAAACCTGCGCGAGCAGGCTGGCACTTAGGTCCCATCCCCTTTCTTAGGCCATTGCCGAACACCAGCTCAGCCCTTTGACGAGCCCGACTGGCCAAACAAACCCAAGACCTGCCTAAACCTCCCCGCAACCAATCCCGAGCAACTCATCGAACCAGAGCCAGCAGGCAGCCCAGGGTCTAAGTGAGGCTGGTGATGCTGGCGGCGAACCAACCCAACCCCACAGCCTGGCCAAGCCTTCAAGACCACCTCTTAATTTCCGAGCCGGGAGTTGCCAAAGCCAGATCCGATCCAGCTTAGGTGGTGGGCCTTGTGTTGACTCGCGGGACCTTTCTGGCTCCCCAAGCAGCCAAAGGAAAGTGGTTCCAGTTGGTTTCTTTTCAACAAGCTACTACAACGTTCAAGTATGACTGCCGTCTCCGCGACTGAGGGAGTGGTGGTGGATGATGAGGAATGTGCTCCGTTCTTTAGGCCCCAAGAACGCAGTGCGCCGCTTCGTCGTGCCCAAGGCGGGCCGTTGTTGCAGCCCGCATAGCAAAGCTGTGGTCCCAACAAGTGGAGCAGGTCTGTTTCGGCCACGACGGCATGAGACGCAAGGATGCCGCCGGTGAAATGACTGACGCAGTTTGATGCTACCTGCCGAACCGAACGGACATCTCAGCGATATACATCACCATCCAAAGCATGCGCACATGATTGAGGCGTAATTTCGGAGAAGGACCTCTCCCACTATCCCCCAGAGATGTTCTCAGGAGCCTGTAAGGACCCCTTTTTTCAAGACTCTATTCATTTTTCCAGTGGCTTTGCTTCAAAGGAGAAAGCACCGCCTCTGCGTTGTGATTTCGTGTCGCCCTTCAGCGGGGTCCTTTTGCCCTGTAGTGCAGAAATCTTTGCAGGAGCGCTGGGAGCATGTCAAGGCGGGGAGTTCATGTGCCCGACTTGCGCTTTTTGTTTTGGTTTCTTATCGGCTCGTGGCCAGAGCGCGGGGTCAATGTTTCTTTGGTGCATGTTTCTTGGATGTTAGGACTTTAACTTTTTGCCAACTAATGGGTTTTCCATTAAACCACTAACAGTTAAACTTTTAGCAGGGGAGCAGAAAGCAACCCAGGTTTGGTGCCATCTTATCCAAGGTGTATGAATAAACGTTGGCCAAGAAAAGTTGGCAGTGCCGTATGTGTGTGGTAGGATGGTACAGCAAGCCCACATGCCACCATGAAAAGCAGAGGGTCCATAGTGGCGTGTCGATGTTTGGTTGGCTTGGAAATACTCAGGTCCTCAAAAGCCTCGCCCTTCGATCACCGGATCTATACCAGACTGTCGAGAGGCTCAACATACATCGTGAGTTGTTTGCTGTGTTGCTTCATGGAATCCTGCTTGAATTCTGGCACTCGGGCCAGCAAAATGCGGCTGGATTGACAACCGCTGGCCGGCCTTCAGGACGACTTGGACGTGCCGTGTGAGGCAGGAGTCGGATGTCTTCGTATGAGGTTTGCCATGGTTGCCACTAGCTCAAGATGTTTCAGCGCTGATGGAAATTCGCCGTGTCTTGAAATAGGGGAATGGTGGTACAGTCCACCTTGATATGTAGGCTCAGTTCGGCCATTGCGGAAAACCCCATGAACCTGCTGCATGCGTACAAAATACTCTAGCTAGACACACACACACACACAATTCACGGCAACGCTTCAAGAAAGCAGAGTGGCAGTGGCTGCACAGCTGGGTTGCCGAGCGTCGAAACGAAGCCAAACAGTGCCCAGTTGCCCTTTCTATAGAATAGAACCCCTCCAAAGATGTGGAATCCATCGAAAGGGTTCGGTTACTATTCCGAGCTTGGTTACAGGGTAACTTTCTGACTTCTCAAAATATTAGGGACCCTAAAATGGCTGGTTTCCTTTTTCTTTCCCTCTAAACACCAACCAAAGCCCGGTCCACCATTTTTGAGAAACCCCGCTACCAATGGCTACCGTGCACTTGTGCAGGTCATGACGTACTCCGACACGCCTGATGCACAGCAGATCATTTCCCACAACAACTCCTTTGCCCGATGCTTGGAAGCTGCTGTGGAGTCGGCCGTGGAGTCGTGGTCAATACTAATTGTGTCCCCCAGCATTGGAGTTTGGCTTCTTTTGGTCCGTGTGCCCCTTGTCATGCCTTTTGCAGCAGTGGATGCATGACTGTTGTCGATTTCTCGTATGGCAAGTGTGAGGCATTGAATTGGCGGTCTTTGTTTTGTTTTAGGTGTTAGGCCTTTTTGTGGGGCCTTCCATTGCGAAAAGGACGCCTTCAGCAAAGCCTTGGAATCCAATGGATTGAGTTGAGGGCTCACTTGAAAGAGGCACCTTTGGTGGGGGAGAGGGGCAGGCAAACCATTTGCTAGGCGTTTATGTTTAGGAGCAGCTTGCTATTTCTTGGATAGTGTCAAGTAGACAAGGTGCTTCGGAGGTCTGAGTTTCCAGTGTTAGAGACAAATCTCGCATGTTTAGCGTTTTTCTTTCTTTCTTTCTTTCATTCTTTCTTTCTTGCTTTTGAGGGTACCCTTTTTGGGTTGGTATTAGAGGGAAACCATCAGGACAACCACGAGTTCCGCGGTCACTTATTTTGAGACAACCTCTTCTGAACAGTTTGAACCAAAAGGCTCCTCAGCATTCGAAGCCATGAAAAGCCGGGGCTCAGGTGCTGGTCTTTGTGGAGCCCTCTGAGAGTTGGATTCCGGCCTGGAGCGAGAGGGTTTGAAGGGACGCAAGATCCTGCCAGGTGAGCCACAATCAAAGCCGCTTCGGGTAGACGGAGGTTATCAAGGGACAATCCCAACCCTAAATAGCAGCGGTCGCCTCCTTAATTCTCTACATGGTTGTGGGTCGACCATTTGAATACTGGGTGTTGATTATGACTCAGGTGGAGTGGTTCCTTTTGTTTCCTACGCATTTGGGATTGGGACTAAGGATCGCACACCCCCCCTCCCGCATTTTTGAAGAAACCAGGCCAGCGGACGCAAAGGCGCAATCGAAGCCTGGAAAGATATGAATCAGTCACATGGTTTCGAGACTGTTGATGCCGGGCTTTGATTTTTGATTCAAAGAGGCGGGTACAGCCGGTACAGCAGACTTTTCCTAGTGGGGCACCCACCGCCTGTTGTGTTGTCCACTGAAATGGAGGGACAATCCCTGGCTCTCATTGATCTCACCGTGAATATCAGCATCTTCCCTTTTGAGCAGCATCATCATTGAGATTGCAGGGTCCGAGATTTCTTTGCCACTCAGAGGCATAAACAATGTTCTCTGTTTGTGTTGAGTAGCGACTAAGTGGTTGCAACTACTTACAATGTAGGATGAACTTGCTCGCTTGAACCACTGTGCAATTATCAGCAGCTGTTTTCAAACAAACCCCATCACAACGCCCGTCGTAGTGCCACCTGCTAAAGTAATGACATAAAGCCATCGCTGCTCTGATCATCGTCAGCTTGTTGGCTTCTTGGCTATTTGGCTGTTTGGCTGCTTGGCTGTTTGGCTTTTGGCTTTTGCGGCTTTTGCGGCTTTGGTTTTCCACCCTTCGTCCACCCTAAAGAAACCCTACACCAATCACCACAAGGCAAACTCCCTAGCAAACCCGAAGCCTGCCCAAAGCATACACAAGCCTTAATCAAGCCACCCCCGCCCCGCCCCCGCCCACACGCTCATCCCAAACACAGCCAAACCCAACTCCCAAGTCAACCATGAATCAAGCTGAATCCCATCTTTATGCCACCTAAAACAACCCCAATAAAAGCCAACACCAACCCCAAACAATCCCATATCTGCGCTAAACAGCCCAACCTTGCCCAAAACAAAGCCAACGTCCTCCGCAATCTTGCCCGGCCCAGAAAGTTTCTTAGTATCCATTCCCAAACCAATCCAGTTCCACTCTAAACCAGCCCTGATTCCGGACCGAAAATTCCAAACCCTCTCACAAGGACTTGATGGGCCCTTGGGCTCACGCCGCACAGGAGTGAAGCTTCAGACGTGGAAGCAGCCCCGATCCTCGTGGTCTCTACCCACAAGCGCGGCGTCACCCGGCCAAGAGTCGAAGCCCGGCCGGCCAAAGGAAACTCGTGTGCGGAGAGTTTTTGTCCATGGCGAGCTCACCTGGGAGTAAACCGAGCGCTGAACCATGATGTAGGGAATGTGCTTGGGGAGTCCTGAGTTCAGGATTTGGATTCTGAGTAAAACTATACCTGGCTCTTTGGCTGACACTGCTGATGCCTCCGGACTCTTCATCGTCACTGGTGCGAACCCAGTCTTGATACCTTGAATTCAGGCGAATAGACACTGAAGTTGTTTGTGAGTCTCATTTGCCTAACTCTATTGGCAGGCTGAAGCATCACGGAGCCAAAGGAGACAACAAAAGGATCATGGTCCCTTGCTTGTCTATGTTTGCCCATCGTGCAATTTGGGCATTGAAAGTTCAGTTTTGTGAGTTGATGTGATAGACACAGATGTTTAACCTTTCTTCCGGATTCAGGGAAGCACGGACCTCGCTTGAGTAAAAACACAGAGAGGAAGTTTGGGTCGTTGGATCGCTGTGTGCAACATGGATCTTGCTTCGAAGCTGGGTTTGATAGCAAACAAAGGCAAACGGGGGGAACCGTTAATTGTTAAGGGAACACCCATCTATGTATGAGCGCCTGCAATATAGGTATATGTCTTTGTGTATAGTTAACGGTATACTGCGCACACGACACAGACACCAGAGCACACCAGAGCTTCGCACATTGCGACTCCCGTAGAGAGAGAGAGAGAGGGAGAGCAACAGACAGCGATGGGCACTATGTGAGCAGCAGCGACCAAACCCCAGCACTGGAATGATAATGAATATTGGCGCCCTGAAGATAGGCCGCACCAAGTTTAAGACCCCCCCCCCTCTTGCATGAAATGCGGCAATGCGCCTTGTTGACCTTACCTCAGAACCCACATGAGCCATCCGGATGTGTTAAGCCGCTTCGGATGTGGCTTCCCAACTTTGCGGCCCAGGTGAAGTTCAACTACACAGGCCCGGCAGATGCATCGGCATTTTCCTAGACCTGCGTGACCGCGCCAACCATGGAGCTGATGGATTGCAAGAGTTCAATGTTGCATGACTGCCAGTTGTTTCGCGAGGAAGCGGGATCCGGAAGGTTGGTTGTAATGAGCAATATCGATTCTCGAAGTTTGCATGGGCGGAAGAGTGGCACCCACATGTCTCACATCCCGATTAGATTGGTCTGATGTTCAGCAAAGCTTGCGATATGTGTGTTGGAGAAAAGCTTTAATTATCGAAAAATGATAGAGAATCGCGCTGGCTCCAGTAGCCAGTTTGGCTTTAGACTTGAGTCTTTTTGCCCAGCATGTTTGCGTATAGGCACCAGCCAACTGAAGTTATCGCACGATACGCATGACAGGAGGAGGGAGAAAATGAGTGCTCGGAAGGCGTAGTGAACTTGGAAGCCAAATCATCCACTCCCTCAGGCGAACATGGAAGCTCCCAGAAGCCTCTGCAAATGGAACCAAGTCTTCCAAAGGGGTCCTGGGAGCTGCCATGTTAGTCTGGGGGAGGGAATCCGACGCATTGTATCCATCCCATTTGGGGAGTGATGTGGGACTGATTGAACTGAATAGAAATGCATGGCCAGTCGAGGCGAATGTTGTTCAAACAGTTGAACAACAGGCAAAAGCAATGTTTCGCATACATGTACCAAACATTCAAGTAGTCACAACACCCATAGAACATGAAATGAAGGAACAAACCAAGCAAACAACAAGCAATCCAAGAAACCACACAGTCGCTCATAAGAGAGAAACAAACGACACGGGTGGGCAGGCAGACCGACAAACAAACAACCCCTCAAGCAAATGCACAAACACAATGCGCGCAGACCAAAACAAAGGCAAAAGCAAAAAACAGGCATGCACGCAAGCAAGAAAGCAAGCAAGCAAGCAAGCAATAAGCTAGCAACTAAGCAAATTAGCAAATAGTTAAGCATGAACAAACAACCTTGGTTACAAACACATGAACAACATCCACCTGGGCCTTTTGGCAGGCTTGGCGAACAAGCTGCAGCGGTGGTTGTCCGAGACGGAGGATGAGGGGCGTGAAAAGGAGAGCAGCAAGGAGAGGTCAGCGGAGCCTGTTGCATCTCCTTGGTCGTTGGTTTCGTGTATTGACAATTTTGATGCTTGTTGGCCGAAATCAAGCGGCACGATTTCTGCCGCAAAAAGTGGAGTGTCGTAGGTGCGCACAAGTACTCCAATGCTGTTGAAGGACCTCTGAATCCCGAAGACGAAGTTACCTGGTGGTGGCTGTTCACGCTGCAACTGTATGCGTGTGTGTTGGCAACTGCTGCATTGGTGTTATTTGTGCTACCTCACAGAACACGACGATCAGTCCGGTTCCCAGGGTGGTATGTTTCATCACAGAGGGCTGGTGGCTTTGAATGCAAGCGAGTTGTTGATGGTCATGGTTAATGGTTGGTGAATATGTGGTTGACTTGCGTGATTTCGCAAGTGGAATTCAGCAAGAGAGTACTTACTGTTCTGCCAAATTATAACCAGTGTGGCAGCTTTGGAGTAAGGTATTTGATTGGGAATTCAGGTGAAAGATGTGCCGATCACAGGGGACGGCAATCATGGTAATGATTAAGCCACCGAGAAAGCGGGGTTTTGCTATCATGAGTTGCAATGCGCGATCAGGACCAGCTGGATTTTTTCGAGAAGGTTCAAACGCTGCTTCCCAAGTGCCTTGGCAAAGCGTTTGGAAGGAGAGTGTGCACAGATACACTCAGAAGGTTGTAGGTGTGCGATTTGGTTGAGGGCATTCTTGTTGCCACCAGGAAAGCCACCATCTTGAAATCGCCGTATTGTGACGCATACCCGTGCCATCGCCCAACGATTGTCCTTGCGAAAGTCCGGTGTGACTCCAGGATAAGCCTGGTATGGTTGATCTGAATTCTAAGCCTACGATGCAGCATTGTGAGGCCTGAGTCGACATCTGACTTCTTTTTAGTGGTCCCCAACAATTGTGGTGTTCCTTTATTTTCCCATTAAAAGCCACCAAAAAAGGGTACCTAGTACCCCCAAAAAAGACACCCAGTCAGTTTTGCAAGCAACGCGTACTGCAAGGACAGTCTGGAGCTGTGTTTTTGTTTGTACTGGGAAAGTTGCGTTAGTCGTCAGCCGACAAGTGCTGAAGGGGCATCAACATTGGCCATATGGGGGCCGTCCGTAATTGCATGTCTAAAACTTATGAACAGCGGCAACTTGTTGAACCGCGCGATTGGGAAAACTCGAGCCGCGAAACGCCGGCGATTGGACCGCGAAAGGGCAACACAATTATTGTGAGTTTAGACGCTGCATGGTGTTTAGGTCGTGGTGCCGACGCGCGTCTCGCTCATGTTGACCGCGCGAGCTCGCACAAAGTTTTCGATTGGACCGCGATTGGACGGCGATTGGACGAGAGCCGCCAGTGAGCCCCTGCCCATCCGATCTATGTCAGTTCCTTCCTCTTTCCAGGTATGGATGGAGGAAGGCCAGCGCTTGGGATGAGGCAGCGAAAAGCCGAGCAGAGACAGCAGCGATGCCCAACATTGCTTTGCGATTGGACGCTGTGGGGCCGCGGTTGGATCGCGATTGGCCGGCGTTTGGGGGGTCCCCTGGCAAAGTAATTTTGTACAACCCCCATATGATGCAGGGCCAGTCTCCGTGATGCCAAGGTCCCTTGGTCCTTCAAGTGACCATGTCATAGGGATGGACCACACTGGCATCACAGAAGCGGGTTATTTCCCACAGCAACGTGCTCACGTTTTCCAAGGTTCGGCCCCCGCGGGTCCTCTATACCCGAGCTGGCCCTTTACCTCAGGCCGGCCGCTTCGTTAGGGGGAAGCCTGCGAGTTGGGTGCGAAATCGCCGGAGTATCGCATTTGCCCAAGACCAACCCAAACCCGAGGGTTCAACCCCAATTAAAAGAAAAGTGACCCATTTTGGATAACAATCCCTTGGTAAACAACGGTGGTTATATGATCCCCCATATGAGTAATTGTGTAGACGCTCAATGCACCCAGTGAGCATCGGCTTGGCCCTTGGAAGTGGTAAAGCTTTCCTAGACCTTTGGCGGGAAGGGCACCCCACCGCGAGCACGATTTGTTTGACAACTTCTAGGAGATATTGAGTGGATCCGTGTTTCGTGCTGTAGCACTGGGATCACAGAGGGGCAAGAAGCACCTGGTGGGGAGCAGCTGTGCATATGATGGATGGCGAATGGCTGTGCTCGGCGAGGTGCGATGTTCATTTGCCGTGTGTGTGTGTGTGCGCGTTTTGGTGCAGTCTCGGCAGTGGTCATGAACTGGACAAAGAGATGGTTATGACATGATTCCTTTTTTCCCCACACACCACCCAGATAGCTTCCTTCATATTTGATGTATAGACCTAGCTGTATAGACCTAGCTTGTTCATCATCCTCGGTGATCAATTTTGCCCTTGCATTGGGCTCGAGAAGGGCACCTCGGAATGGTACGTAACGTTGGAACAAAGGCCAAGATGCCAGCCCAGCTAATAAGCAGTGGGTTGTCCAGGCCTCATTTTATTTGATCAGTCATTCTTCCGTTGCTTGGAGCAGTCGTCCAAATCAGCGTGACAGAGCTACACTGTTTCGCTTGGAAATGGTTATGACATCCAGGGACTCCATGATTTCTTCACATGGAACCAATATAGAACAGATGCCCGCAAATGTTGCCGTTGTTGCGGGCTTGTTTTGGGCAGGTGTATGAATTGCCCAGATATAAGAAGCTAGGTTAAAGGCTTGGATGCGTGAACCGCTCAATCCCTGGTCGGATTTCGAAAAATCAAGCCACTAATTTTCCCAAAGTATATCGAGCTGACATGAGACTAACTCGAGTTTTGGCCCTATGTCACGGTTCCTCACTGGGGGATTTTGCATGTCCAACTTTGTCCAGTTTATGGATTTGTTGAGAATTTGCTCAACCCTCCCCCCAAGTATAACCCAGTACGGCGCATGCATTGCAACATATCTGTTTGACACCGTTCCAAAACCACTTGTGCGAGCGCAAAGATGCAGCCAGAAGATGCAAACAGGCGGGCTCTGTTTCCACACAGGGGGCAGCTGCATATTAAATGGGTTGCTCCCTTTTGGCTTGCTGTGATCCACGAAGGGATACACAGTCTAAAACGTTCTTTGCTTGGCACTCGTGCTTTGCTTAGTTTCATGAGTTCTGCTTTGTAACATGGCCAGGAACAGGATGTCTCCTGTCATGCGCAAGGCTCGTGTTGCTTGGGCTGCTGGGTGGGTGGTATGGCAAGATGGCTTCAATTATGTACTACTATACCCTTGTGCCATTGCAGAAGCTCACAACACAATGTTTCGACAGTGGTTCGCAACACAAACAACAGGCGATGGTTGTTCCAAAGCGGCGACATGAAGTGACACCAGGTCCTGAACATATTTGGCCCGTCGAGTTGACAATATGATTGAGATCCCCTTGTGAAACACTTGATTTTGATGGTGATGTTTACTATATATATATGTGTATATATGTTAAAATATAATATACATATATGCATATATGTGGTTTTATGTGCATAATTATGTTTATGTGTTTTGTTATGTATTTATTATTATCATTATTATTATTATTATTGTTATTATTATTGTTATTGTTATTGTTATTGTTATTATTATTATTATTGTTATTGTTATTGTTATTGTTATTATTATTATTATTGTTACTATTATTATTATTATTCTTATTTCGGCACATGCTGCTCCTTTGAACTCGTGGGATTCCATGCTTATTTTCACGCCAGCATCCCTTTGCGAGAGGAAAGGTTTGGGGCGCGTCTGGACACCCCCCGTGGATCCACCTTGGTTTCGCTACCGTATGGGTGCGACCTTCCTCCTGGATCTTTATGTGGTTTTGCGAGGACGATTTGACGGGTGACGCAAATGGGTGACCTGACAAGGGAACCCCAGGCGCTGTGCGACCAGAGCAAAACGAGATGAAAGCAACGTGACTGGGTGCCCTTTGGTTTCCCATCATTTCAACCGAAACAAACAACAACAAAAAACACGTCGCCTCACATTTGGGCATCCTCCACTCAGGGGGTGCATTTCTTGTCTTCCCTCCCCTTTCTGGGCTGCTTTTGAGGGACACCAAGAAAAACACCCAACATCTTTTGGGGTCTTCGATTTTGGTAACAGCCATATTTGCTTTCCTAGGGTACAGGAATAGACCGCGCTTGAGAACAAACAGTTGACCACCATGACCACTCTCTGGAAGATGTTTTCCGTTGCAACCACTATGAGTGTATAGTGCATTCAAAATATATATATATATATACACGCCCCATGTTCCTCCGGAGGTAGTGGTTTTGGGTAGTGGTGGAAATCATTCTTAGGTCGAAATGAGGGCTGTTTTGAGGTGCGGAGCCTTCAATTGGCTGCTGGCACAGGGATGCTCGTGTTTGGCCCAGGCCTACGGCAATTGCAAGGCAAAGTGGTTGAGCGAAAGGCAGGGCCGTGGGGAGAGTTGCCAAACGCAGCAACAAAGACTGGCCCCAAAGCTGAAAGTAAACCAAGTGTGCCACTAGCTCAGGGAGAATCCAAAAGAGAAAAATGCACAGGAAACGACAGCCTATGAAAGGGTGCAGACGATATTGTGCACAAAGCTGCCTTCGCGTTATGTGAAACTAATGCCCATTCATAATGTTCCGCAGCTGTAGAGTCAATACAGCAGAGATTCCCGCGGGCATTGTGCCCATAAGGATGTATCAGGTAGGTCGGTGAACAAACACATTTTGACCCAGTGAAGCCAGCTTGATGCGTATGCGCGTACGTGATACTTGGGTGCCCTTCTTGTTTTGGTTCGTCTTTTTTGTTTGCGCATGTTTATGTTTGTCAGGTATGTGTGTGTGTGCCGTGTTGTATCTTTTTGCCTACGTATGTCTCTGTGGTTTCTTGGCTCCGTTCTTGTGTCTGTGCCACTGAATGTTGCTTAGTCTCTGTGCTTTTCTCTCGCTGTGGATTTATAATATTTCGGAGTCGTTCGAAAGGTTCTTGTCTTGAGATATCCAGGGGAATGAGTTCTGATCCAAGTGTTGCCCTCGGTGAAAGCTTCGCGATGGAGGTCGCGAACGCCATGTGTCTCTGCTTTTGTTACGCACACGTTTTGCGTAAGGGTGGTTGTGTAAAAGAAAACGGACTGATGAACCATGCGTATTTGCTGGGACTGAGCGCCGAAGCGGAGGAATGTGCTTTGTGTGTTTGTGATTTTGCGGTCATGTTTGTGTGTGTGTAGCTGTGTGTCTGTGTTGTAGTGTGTGTTACAGTATTGTGTGGTTGTGTGGCGTTGTGTTTGTGTGTGTGTGTGTTGTGTAGTATTGCGTGCTCGCGCGTGTGATTTGATCTCAAAACATGTCAACCACGACCACGACTTGTTTGTCGGTATTTGCATCAAAAGTGTGTTGTTTGCATTCTGTTGCTAATCTTGTTCACGTGCGAGCAGTGCCGCCTGATACGCATGTGATCCATGAGTCCATCTTTGTTTCCAGCACCAGGGGCAAAGCTTGGTTGACACAACCTGGACATAGTGCCTTTGGCTCGTTCGAGCCCTTCGGTTGCACTCCAAGCCAAAGGACAACATGCACAAGCATCAACTTGTTCAGCCAATCGCAACGGGCGCCCAGAGATCCTCTTTGGCACACGCAAATAGAATGGCGCTTGTTTTTGTCAGTGCATTTGACGTTGTCCTTCCTTCACTGGCCAGTTTGGATCTCATACCCCATCCAGCGCTGAGAGTTCCCCCGTTGCACCTCTTGATCATTTGGTACACGGCTACAGCAGCTGCGTGTGTGTTCAGGCTTCCGCTGGTCCTGGCAGCAGAGGAGGAGATGAAGGTGAAGCTGCGAAGGCTTTGGACACGGGGAGTAGCCGAGGTCACCTCATGGGCGTGACAGTTGTTGCAAAGACCCCCAGCTAGGTGCCCTTTCTCACCGTTTCTTTTTTGGGGGAAGGTTCCCCTACTAAAATAGACTACAGAAGAAGAAAAAAAAGGTACCCGTATTCTAACCTCTCTACTGGAGGACGTAGGTTGGGATCATGAATGGCTCGGACAGTGGTGCCTTGTCCTCTTTCCTGTCGGGGGGAGGGGCTTGAAAGAGTGCCCCGTTTCCCCAACTGGCAACCTGAGTTGGTCAGCTATAGGTTGACGCTAGTTGTCCATCCACTCAGGAAGTGAGGGAAAGTGGGACAGGCGGACCTGCAACATCATCAGATTCATTGTTTGATTGATATTAGGGGCAAAATACTTACACATTGCTTTTTTTCGTTTTTAAGGATGATTTCTGAGTGGGTTGTTTAAGTACATTCCCTAGATTTGGCTGCTGGACGGGGTGAATTTTAACTGTTGTGTGTTTCATGTTCCCTTTATTGAAAGACTAGTGTGCTCATTTGATTTGTGCTCTTTGTTCCGGTTTGGATTCCCATGTTCCCAATGGGCAAAAAGGTGGTATCGCGTGCCCAAGTCTTGTCAAGTCTGCAGGGTTTCCCATGTTTTGCACTCCTTGGCTCGGTCACAGCCAGACGGGTAGATGGCCTGCAAAAACCAGGAGGACACTAGTATTCCCCTGTGCTGGGGAAATTTGTGGCTCTGGCTTAAGTGCTTTGGATTGTTGCATGCCTTGGTCCCTCAACGTCAACTTGTCAGCCTTGGCGGTCTGGATTAGTTTGGATTTTGTCTCAGGCGGCGAGAGCAGCAGGCCAGAGCAGAGCTTGCCGCTGCAGAACTGGAGAAGGCCAGCCACTGTGGAGGATCGAGGCATAGGTGTCCTTTTTAGGTTAGTTTGATTAAAATTAGATGGCGCTGGTTTAGATGGTTTCTTCCATTTATCAGGGCCATCTATTTTTCCAAAAGGCCACCTATGGGTGGAGGGGGGTGTGGGGAAGGTGGTCGTTTTTGAACGCGTGTTTTGGCTCGTTTTTGAACGCGTGTTTTGGCTCGTTTTTGAACGCGGTTTTGCTCAAGTGTATGTGATTTACAGCAGCACGGCCATTTTCCAAGTGTCCATGCACACCACGATGAGGCGCACGAACACGCACCACGATGCACGTGTAGCACATGGATGGCGCCGTGCTTTTGGGAGACAATCGTCAACTGTAGACCCGGGAGCACAAAGCACAAGGAACGCAAAGCGACATCATCATCATCATCATCATCATCATCATCATCACCATCACCATCATCATCACCATCATCATCAACATCGTCATCATCACTACCAACAACATCACCATCATCAACACCAACACCAACATCATCATCACCATCATCAACATCACCACCAACATCTATATCATCATCATCAACAACACCGTCAACATCACCATCATCATCATCATCACCACCATCATCATCACCATTATCATCATCATCATCATCATCATCAACATCACCATCGTCAGAATTATCATCAACATCGTCAACATGAACATCATCACCATCATCATCATCATTAACAACATCATCACCATTATCAACATCAACGTCGACATCACCATCATCATCGACATCATCAAAGTCATCGCCATCGACATCCTCATCGGCAACATCAATATCATCATCATTAATTAACATCATCACCATCATCATCAACATCATCACCGTCATCATCATCATCATCATCATCATCATCAACATCATCATCATCATCAACATGGTCAACATATTCATCATCATCATCATCGTCATCATCATCACCATCATCATCAACATCGTCATCATCGCTACCAACAACACCGCCATCACCACCAGCGCGCAGTCGCACGGTCACGCAGTAAGAGGCGAACGCAACTGCCCCACCCCATCCCCCCCCCCCTCAGGACGCAGTCGCACGGTCACGCAGCAAGAAGCGAACGTAACTGCCCCACCCCACCACCCCCCCCCCCAGCCCCAATACGCAGTTGCGCCGCCGCGCAGTAATTAAGCGGCGATCGCAATTCCAGGAGGCTCCGATTCGCAAGTTACTTAGGCCGTATGAGCTAAGGAGGTTTTTTGTGTCGCGAGGACAAGATAACTCAGAGCTTGAAATTTCACGAGTTTTCACGGCTTTTTCACGGAGTAGTAGCGGCCTTTCAGTTTCCCGCGCGAGTTATTACGGCCGTTAGACCGAGCTTTCACGGCTTTACGGGGGCCAACGAGCGCAAGTCGCCGAGGACATCTTAGCTCAAAAAGCCAAGGTAACTTGGCTCCGAGTCCCCCAGCCCCAGGGCGCAGTTGCACGGGCAGGCAGTAAGAGGCGAACGCAACTGCCCCACCCCACCCCCCCCCCCGCCCCACGGGTGCCGCAGGATAGCCCCCCCATGTGTTCGAAAATGACCCACTCTGTGTTCGAAAAGATCCAGGACATCGGCGTTCGAAAATGATCCAAAATCGGTGTTCGAAAATGATCCCCCTCCCCTATGGGTGGAGGGGGTCCACCCATTGGTTTTTCTTTGTGAGTGGGTCGCCCAGTAGTGCCCTTTTACCGATTCTTTTTTGGGGGAGGGGTCCCCTACTAAAATAGACTACAGTGACTACAAAAAAAGAAAGGTACCCTTATTCTAACCTCTCTACTGGAGGACCTAGTGAGGTTCCCTGGAAAAGTTTGTAACCATCCACTTGGTCACCTTTCGGTTATACAAAGGAGATCACAGAGTCATTTAACCTGTTTAGGTGCCGCCCGTGTTAAGACAAAACCCAAGGAGTGGTTCATTGTTACAACGTAAAATGATCCCTTGTATCAACCTGTTGAACATTGGTCATCCAAATTGGGACCACAGATGTTCCATTATTTTGCCAGGGTATTGGATTTTGGGATTGAAATTACGAGTAGATTCTGCAAAGCCGGTGGGCGGAAGTTTCTAAACAATATAAACTTACAGACTATACTGTAGGTATCTTTCTCTTTCTTTTCTTCTTTCTTTTAGTTTCTTCTTTATTTCCTTCTTTCTTTCCTTCTTTCTTTTCATGGCTTCTTCTCTTTCCATCTTTCTCGCTGTCTTGCCTTCCTTTCTTCCTTCCTTTTCATCCCTTCCCTTTCCTGTCCTGCCCTTTCCTTTCCTTGCCTTCCTTCTTTGTTTATTGTGTTCTTTCTTTTCGTCCTTCTTTATGTATTTGTGTCTTTCTTTATTTATCTATCTGTCTTATCTATCCTATCCTATCCTACCCTACCCTATCCTATCCTATCCTATCCTATCCTATCATATCTAACTATCTATCTAATCTATCTATCTATCTATCTATGTATCTATCCATCTATCCATCTATCCATCTATCCATCGATATATCTATCTATCTATCTACCTATCTATCTATCTATCTATCTATAGATCTATCGATCGATCTATCTATCTATCTATCTATCTATGTATATATATCTATCTATATATTTATCTATTTATCTATCTATCTATCTATCTATCTATCTAATCTAATCTAATCTATGTAGTCTATTTATCGATCTAGCTATCGATCTATCTATCTATCTATCTATCTATCTATCTATCTCTATATTTGTCTATCTATCTATATATATATATATATATCTATCCATCTATCTATCTATCTACCTATTTATTTATCTTTCTATCTCTCTCTCTCTTTATATATATCTACCTATCTCTTTCTCTATCTATCTATCTCTGTATGTCTTTATCTGTCTACCTATAGTTGCATCTCCCTCAATCTACATATGTATATACATATCTATCGATCTACCAATCTATCTCTCTATCTCTCCATCTATCTATCGATCTATCTATCTATCTATCTATCTAATCTGCTATTGATCTATGTATCTATCTATCCTATCTATCCTATCTACCCTATCTATCCTATCCATCCTATCTATCCTATCTATCATATCTATCATATATATCCCATCTAATCTATCTATCTATCTATCTATCTATCTATTGTTCTATCGTTCTGTCTATCTAGCTGTCTATCTAATCCTTATGTGACTATCGATCCATCTATGTATCTATCCATCTACCTATCTATCTATATTTTTTATCTATCTATCTATATATACATTTATCTTTCTATCTATCTATCTAGTCTGTACATCTATCTATCTATCTGTCTATCTATCTATCTACCTTTCTAATCTATCTAATCTGTCTTTCTATGTATCTGTCGATCTAACTAACTAACTAACTAGTCTTTCTAACATATCTATCCTGATTAATTTATTTAATGTATCTATCTATCAATCTAACTAATCTAATCTAATCTATCAAAGTTCTATCTATCTTTCTATCAGTCTATCTATCTATCTATCTATCTATCAAACTATCTATTTATCTATATAATCATCCCTATCTCCATTTTTATCTATCTTTTTTTCTATCTATTCATCTATCTACCTATTTATTGATCTTTCTATCTCTCTCTCTTTATATATATCTACCTATCTCTTTCTCTATCTCTGTTTGTCTTTATCTGTCTACCTATATTTGCATCTCCTTCAATCTACATATGTATATACATATCTATCAATCTATCTCTCTATCTCTCCATCTATCTAATCTATCTATTTATATATCTTTCTATCTATCTATCTTTCTATCTAACTATCTATCTATTTATCTGTCTGTCTGTCTATCTCTACCTCGCTCTACCTATATATGTCTATCTGTCTGTCTGTCTGTCTATCTATTTGTCTATTCATCTCTCTATCTGCATCTAGCGCTTGCCACGAAATCCGTACTTGTGAGCTGCGCGCCTGCCACGAAAGCTGCACTAGACCTTGCGAAAGTGCTGCGCCTGCCACAGAATCTCTAGTTGACCTTGCGAAAGTGCTGCGCCTGCCACGAAATCTGTACTTCCTTGCGAAAGAGCCGCGCCTGCCACGAAATCTCCAAGTGACCTTGCGAAGCGCTGCGCCTGCCACGAAATCTCTGATTGACCCTGCGAAAGCGCCTGCCACTGACCGTTCGAAAGCGCTGTCCTTGCCACGCACTTCAATCCTTAGGAAAACTTGGCTGCGCCTGCCGTGCAACTCAAGCCTTGCGAAACCTTCGCGTTGCCGTGCCAATGGGCCCGCGCTCCCAGGGTTGCTCAGACGCCGCAAACAGGCTAGCTTTCAGCTCTCCGAAAACGCCAGTTCACTCACAGGGCCACGCTTCTTGCACATTTCTATCCCACTACACGCGTGTGCCATTTTTCTCGCGTGCCTCTCTTGTCATCTGTGTCTTAGAGAGCTAGCTTTTGATTGGTTACCCTAACACGGAAGTTCCTTCTAAACTTCCTTTGGTTTGCTCCTCTTAGTGTTTGTTGTTTGCTATATGATATGTGATATAATACTACGCATTATGAACCATATCTCGGACGTCCGATGTTTTCCATTTGCCGTTTGCTGAAAAAGCATTTCAAATCCGCCGGTTCGATTGAAAAGTGCTTCTTGGGAGCCTTGCTTCCTTCCATAGTTTTCCTGGAGCGGGCAGCGTGTTCGAAGGCAGGAAAGTCCGCTTGTAGACCGGGAACATCCGCCTTTTGACCGGCAAAATCAGTTGTTGTTTGCGAAGCACTGATGAGTGCAGAATTTGCAGAGTTGTCCAAGATTCCATAATTGTGAAAAGTGCTCGCAAATTTGAAAAGCGCTCGCAGAAATGAAAGCAGCAGTTCTATGACATTGGAGGTCCTAGGTATACAAGTGTTGTTGCTGGTAGTGTGATTCCTACCATTCGTTTGATTTTGCAAAGGGAGTGCCAAGGCCCGAAATTGGGACCTTGAACCTACCAGCCGTGATCGCAAGCCTGGCTATCGTTACGAGCCCTCGATCCGCAGCTTCAACTCGCGGGATGCCCGTTGACCCACATAACCAGGCCCTTTTCTCTGTTCAGGTTACGTTTGCGTGCGGGAGAACTACTCAATTCCTCCGGAAGACGCAACAAATAGCGATCCAATCATGTGTTTTGCAGAGGCGACGCAGCCAAGGAATTTCCTGTGCGCATGACCCACTTCAACAAACAAGTGTCACCATCATGCGTGTGTGTGTGTGTTTGTGTGGGCGCGTGCGTGCGCGCGCGCGCGTGCGTGCGTGCGGCGTGCGCGTGCGCGTGCGCGTGCGCGTGCGCGTGCGTATGCGTGTGCGTGTGCGTGTGCGTGTGCGTGTGCGTGTGCGTGTGCGTGTGCGTGTGCGTGTGCGTGTGCGTGTGTGTGTGTGTGTGTGTGTGTGTGTGCGTGTGCGAGTGCGTGTGCGTGTGCGTGTGCGTGCGTGGGTGTGTGTGTGTGTGGGTGTGTGTGTGTGTGTGGGTGCGTGCGTGCGTGCGTGCGTGCGTGCGTGTGTGCGTGTGTGCGTGTGTGCGCGTGTGTGCGTGTGTGCGTGTGTGCGTGTGCGCGTGTTCGTGTGCGTGTGCGTGGGCGTGGGCGTGGGCGTAGGCGTGCGCGTGCGCGTGCGCGTGCGTGTGCGCGTGCGTGTGTGTGTGTGTGTGTGTGGGTTTGTGTGGGGGTGTGCGTGTGCGCGTGCGCGTTCGCGTGCGCGTGCGCGTGCGCGTGCGCGTGCGCGTGCGCGTGCGCGTGCGCGTGCGTGTGCGTGTGTGCGTGTGCGTGTGCGTGTGCGTGTGCGTGTGCGTGCGCGTGCGCGTGCGCGTGCGCGTGCGCGTGCGTGTGCGTGTGTGTGTGTGTGTGTGTGTGTGTGTGTGTGTGTGTGTGTGTGTGTGTGTGTGTGTGTGTGTGTGTGTGTGTGTGTGCGCGTGTGCGTGTGCGTGTGGGTGTGGGTGTGGGTGTGGGTGTGTGTGTGTGGGTGTGTGTGTGTTTGTTCATTGGTGCCGGCCAGAACGGAGGAGTCTCTTGTGGTTAATTGCTTACCATCCAAAGCCCACCCCGTTACCATCCCGCCTTTTTCGCTCGACACTGAGGTTTCATGGCCACCTCTTATCTCTGTAGTGCAATGTTTCAGCGGGACATGGTGAGATATAGCATGACACCCCTTAATGACGAATGAGTAATGTGATGATTCCCACTAAATCCGGGGACACCCCAATTAATAAACTGGGGTTGGTTAATGGGTCAACATCATCTTCGGACGTGTCATTCTCTTTTGTCGCAGGTTGCCGACAGATGCCCTCCCGTCCAACGTGGAACCCACCAAAAGGAAAATGAAGCCAGCCCCCAGCCAGGTTCCATTGTAGTGGACAGGAGGGTAATGGTATAGGGGCCCAAAACCTAGGGGTTGTGGGGTACTCCAACCTAAGTCATGATCATAGGAGGAAAATGTAATTGTTCAGCGCCTCATATGACATTGGCTGAATCAGCAAAACAACCTGGTTGCAAGCACCACCTCCAGGATATATTGCAGGACGGTCTCACGGTTGCATAGTGACCATCTGGTTCAAATCTCCCATGTCCGTGCTAACAGTACCCAGCATGGATGGACGAAATCCGTTCACACCTAACAAACCATGGTTGAAACTCTTATTTGTTGGTAATCTGAGGGGACTCCAATTCCGTTGGGTTTACTTGGCGCAGAACCGCCTGAGTTCCGAGACCTTCCGCATGTGACTCTCAGGCCGTCCAGGACCTGGACGAGGCCCAGTTCCAGCGGAAGCTGACGGCGGCCAAGTCTTTGCTGCCGCCAAAGCTGTGGCGCCCGCCTCGGGTCCTCGGGTTGCGGGGCAGGTGGCCTGGCAGGTCTTTGGAAGGCTTCGGTTCTGGCCCAAGAAGACATGTAGATGTGTCCTAAGAGCTTTTCTCTGGGTTCTGGGGGGTGCTTGGTGGCTCCAGTTCAGTCAAAGCACCGTCCAAGTTTTGTGTACATCATGCCACTTGCGTGGTAGGATTAATTGCTCGAAAGGCGCAAACATGTACATCAATTACAGCACGTTGACTCTTCTGCAGGGGTTCTCAGGATTTTCCGGGACCTAGGGGAAGACCCCAAGGGGTACACAACATCACAGATGCATTCCTAGGGACTTGTAAAGCAGAACTCAGCAGACATGACAAGCTCAGCCGATTTTATGAGCTCGGTCCCCATGCGGCCCCATGAAGGTCCTTATAGTCATTTTTCTCCTCATGCATTTTCTTGAGTGATAAATGTTCCCATGAGAAAGGTATCAACATGTAAGAACGTCCAAGGGGTTGCTTGTCCACATAACCCCCCCTCCCCTGGCCGAGCGCAAACACAGTGAAAAGTCGTCATGTTTGTTCATTCGGAGTTAGAAGTTGCCTTTAGCAAGTAGAATTCGCAGTGGAAGTTGCATTTTACATACAACATGAATGTACAAACATTATGGCTATTGTGTTGAAGAGCCCTCCAAAAGAGAGGGGTCTGTGGCTGGACAGAGTGTTCCGGCCAAAATGCTATGTATTCGGAGGCGTGTTTTCACAATGGACGATCCATGGCCGGGGTTGCATTTGCACAAATCACAGCTGAGAATCTACCCCCCTTTCAATCACCACCCACCAACGAGCAACCACCAGTTTAGAGTCAATCAAAATCGGAGACCCATCACTAGTTTGTACTTGTCGTGTGTGTTTGTCTGTAGTCCTTTTCCTTGCAAACCTGCTCATGAGCATCGGTGTCTTTTTTGGTCGTTTTGGTAGAAACATAGATGGCGATTCCTGGTTTACCTGGTGGTTTAATCATCTACCAGGGAAACCCATCTATTTTCCCTAAAAGGACACCTATGCTCATGCGGGTTATGCCATGCGTTTGCCTTTCGGTTCTCGAAGGGCATCAGACGCTTCAGACGCTTCGCCGCTTCGCCACTTCGCCATGCGATGGCCTGCCACGAGTCCGGGGTCGCATCTCCCGTTTCGCCCGCCGGGAGAGTCTCCCCTTGCGCCACATGTTCCATGAATGGATGTCTATATTATGCAGCTGTAGAGTTATATGTATGGTATGTATGCTTGGATTGATTCTCGAGCTGCAATTCTGAGCCATCGATCCCACATTTTCGTTGGTGAAATTATCACTCCCCAGCATCATTATGTTGGCAAAACCTGAGGTAGGCCACTAGGTCGAGTCTAATCAAGAGTATTTGTTTTTTGCCCCGGCCCCGGTCCCCCAGAACCCACCCGACCCGCCGACTTGCACGGAGGCAGCAGTTCCAGGATCGCTTCACCGCGGCCAGGGAGGTGACGGAGGTCGGAGAATGAAAAGCTCTCTCCTCCAAAATGGCTGGCGTTCTTTTCTGGGTCTGCCAGTAGCGCCCTTGCTCACCTCTTTTTTCGGGGGAGGGGGAGGGTTGCCCTACTAAGAAAAATAGACTACAGAAAAAAAGGGGTATTTTAACTCCTTTACTGGAGAAGCTAGTTTTGGTTGTCCTTTAAGCACCAACTAAAAGGGGGTCCACCATTTTTGAGAATCCCCAGACAGTTGACCCCATATGAATCAACCCCAGTTCATTGACAGGGTGTTCCTGGGTTTAGTGGGGAACCAGACCACTTTTGGAGGGGCCCCCACCCCTGTTCACAAACTTGGGTTGATTATGCCCTCCTTCGGAGGTGCCCAGCGTCATCCAGCGTCCAGCATCAACGTTGGAGGGAGACGTTTGCAGCAAACCTGATATGTGCATTGCCCAACATTGCAGACTCCCCCCCCCCCCACACCCCCCCTTCCCCGCAAGTAGCTCGTTGTTGTTTGAGCGCGCCCTTTGTTGGCACCCAACTGTGGTTTCAGTTTCAGTTGTAATTGAGTTGGAACGATGGTTGCGACTCTTGGGGGGCAATGTGCATATGGCATCGTTTTTTTGTTTCCATCAAATGGAATCTTTCAACGCCACTTGGCGTTGATCCGGGCCGCTTTGTCAATTCAGTGCTTCTAGGCTACAGCGGCAGGTGTCGTTTCTTGACACCGTCACTTGACTGACTGAAGGGCACATTCCAGCGTTGAAGAACTAGAGAGACCAAACCAAAAACCCGGGCGAGTTCCATATCCTTTGAGACAACCCCCCCCCCATGGGTTGCAGGAATTCTCAGCCAGCGCTTCGCCTCCGCCCGCGCGCAAGCCGCTCGCCTTTGCCGCGAAGGCGCCCCTGCGCAGCTTCGCCCAGAAGTGCTTCGCCGGCGAGCGCGAGGAAGAGGCACGCGGGGGGAGAGGAAGTTTCTGGTAGCACCGAAGGGGGGAGTTCCGGTAATGTTGACCCAGGAGTAATCAAGTCGTCCCATGATTAGGGGGGTGGGCACCCTCCAGAAGTGGTCTGATTCCCCACTAAAAGGGGACACACCCCTATGAATCAGCCAGTGGTTTATTAATCCGGGGTGAACATTAGCCAGACATTTTCCGGTAGCTCTAGGGGTAGCTTCCCCATTGATTCTTTCCCGGGATCCTTCTTTCTAGAAAACCTCCCAAAACCCCGGAAAAATGGCTGGTTTTGAAAAGAACGATGGCTGAACAGAATGGAATTGGAATCAACCCCTAGAGTAGCCAGCCATAGGAATCCTCGGCCTTTTAGACCAGACCTTGAAGGTGTTGGTGACATACCCCACCAAACACCAAAACAAATCGGCTTCTGGGGACCATTGGTCCTGGTCTTCACTGTTCTTGGCAGTTTGGGTTGTTTGCCTCTGGTCAGTTCGCAGCTGGGTTGCACCGAATGGGTTCGGCAAATGATGCCGGTTCAACTGTTGTCTTCCCAAAAGGGAGCAAGGCAACTCCTCAATCAGCACACGGCCCCTGTCCAATTCCCTGTGCGAAACTCTGTTCGTGTTTTCGGGCATTGCACAACATGTTTTTTGTCTGAGGGGTGTTCTTGTTCAACTTTTACACACATGGTTCAGAAGGTTGCTCTTTTGTTGGTTGGGACATCCAAGTATGGCTGCTAAGTAAAGCATATCATGTTTCAAAGAAAATGATGGGAACCTCAATGACGGTTGCTGAAAGAGAATGCCTTTTCATTCGCTGTCTCAAAACTGATGTCCAGTGTTGGGGTGTGTTGTTTCTTCTCAGTTTTGTCAAGAGCGAGCCGACAGTAACGGTTAGACATTGTTTCGTACCTTCGAATGGAGGACTTGAACGCTTTACGAAGGAAACTATAGCCATCTACAAAGGCTTTGACCATGACACGTGTCCAGTCACTCGAGCTCCGTCTCATATTTGAGGCTCAATCATTGTCAAAGCACACACACACACACCGAACTGAAAAGAAGATCCCTTCAGGAAAAGACCTTAGAGGTCTTGGAAACCATGTTATTGCTTTCGCACAACCGACCATTTGCCCTGCAACTTTTCGGTTTTGTTTCATTGCCCTAACATATAGATCTTCTATTCCCTATCTCCACTCATCCACAGCGCCACCACACGGATCACTGCAGAACTGTACCACACCCGCAAGATCCTCCCCCCGGTCTTCTGAATGGAAGTCTAGGTCGACGTTTGGGACCATCTGACATTTTTGTCCTAGAAAACCACATCCCTCGCATCCCGCCAGGTGAGCGAGCTCCAAGAGGAGCTGCGGAATTTGGCCACCGACTTGGCCAGCGCCAGATGGAGCCAGGCCGGACGCGAGATCAGATTGGAGGTGCGGGCCACCTTGAAACGGTTGCAAGACGAAAGCGGGGCAAAGGCTTAAGTCCTGTTGTGGTGTTCTGGGTTCCCAGCCATCCGGTTCCTGCAGTGTTCGGGTGTTTTGGAGTTTAGTTGTAGTTTGTTTCCACTAAACCAGAAGTTATTCACTTTTAGCAGGGGATCTGGGAACAGCCCAGTTTTGAGATTGTTTTGGGGTGCAAGGTGCTTGGAGAGACCTTACACCTAATAAGAGGGCCGCATGGTCTTGGTCCCCAAAAGATTGCCCTGAGGCACCCATGATGGAATACTGTCATGTGATGGTGTTTGACTTTCGCTGGTGTGGCAGACATCCAGCCATGCAACGATCTTACACAAGTTGCGGAGCTGTTTTATGGGTACCCATGATACCCTTCAAGAGGGCAATGCGTTATCATTGTTTTCCTTTGGCCAACCGCACTCAATCTTAGTGACGCCCACTTGGGAGCGGACCGCCGGCCAAAAGGGCAGCTGGTTGATCCGTAGCAATCATATAAACACAGGTATGTTCTGTCATCTACGGTGATAAGGGGATGACATGGGGTAGACTCACCACAAATACCCTTAGGAGAACCGGAATCCAATGTCAGTCGGGGACGCAAATAATCACAGATGAGGTTCGGCTGGAATTTCCGGTAGCAATCTGTGGTCCATTTGGGAGACACGGAGCACTCGCTAATTCCCGGCATAAACCAGGGGCCTCACGCATTTTCTCATGCCCACGGCAAACAAGTAGGTTCGGCTCATTCAGGTCATCGTTGACCTGCGGAATGCCCTGGAGGCGGGGGTTTGGGGTCTGGGGTTTGCGCGGAGAGCTAGATGTGTCAACTGGAAAGGACGCCAGTCCAAAGCTCAAACTGTATTAGAAGCATATGGCCATGGGTTGCATAACCTATGTCGATCCCATTTTGGGGCTGGATGAACATCCATTTGCAACCTAATCTCTTGCCCTTATTAATAAATACGCCCCCCCCCCCTGTTATAAATAAATCCTCCCAAACATATATGTTTGTTTAATTGGATTTTTCGGGGTTGGTTTTTTTGTTTTTCCAACAATGTGAGGGTTCACATAGGATTTGGAGGAAATGGATTGAATTGTAAGGTCCGCGAGCAAGCGGTTTAATAAGGAAAATTTATCTATCAGTCTATTTGTTTTTCAGTTTACTGGTTGTTTGTTTGCAGCCAGGCAGGTTAGCCAGCATGTACGGGAGAGAGACAGTCGCAGCTAGACAGCTTTTGGGGACATGTTTTGGAGTCAGGGACAACCAGGGACAACCTTTTGGGGAGAGAGTCAGGGACAACCTTTTGGGGAACCCACCAAAAGGACCCAACCTTTTGGTGAACCCACCTTTTGGGGAAGCAACCTTTTACAAAATTCATCTTTTGGGGAACCCACCTTTTTAAAAGTGGGGCTGGAAGCTTGTTAAAAGTGCCCCCTAATAAGGATTCCAAGACTTTAGTATTGGTTTAGTGTTGGCGCAATGGAAAAACAATTGTGCGGAGTGGAAATCTGGTCCCGGGCCCCGGATTTCCATTTTTTTATTAATTGGGGTCATTCATTAATAGGGGGAAGATATTATTTTGATGTTCACCAGGTTTCCTGCATTTTGACCCCCAGCCATATCTATCTGGCAGGCATCGGGGGCAGGCCAATGGAATCAGAAATGAAGTCGGATTTCCGCTGCACTTTCACATTATGAATTAACTTAGGCAGTTTTTTTTTTCCGGAGCACCCAATGTTTATATGCTTGAGCGCTGGAGCTTTGGTCAGGCCAGTTGGCGTAGCCTGCTTCGTAGGCCGCCGCATGACTTGCAGTTACTTCCCATGCACCATCGCCCACAGGTCCCCAAAACACGATAGGTCTTGAAGGATTTTCTTGGTTCCAGGCTTGCGGGAGGGTAACAGTCACTACACATGAGCAGCCAACACCTGGCCACCTTCCTATGGCCACCCCACAAACCAGAGACAACAATATTCTGCATATTTGACCATGGGTGCCATGAGGATGAGATCTGGCGCTTGTTCCTTGATGATCTCCATGACCATGTGTTGTCCCTTGGATGTCATTGCGTCAAATCCGTTGCGAATGTCAACGGGAGTCCCAACCTTCAAACCTGTAAGTGCGCAGCACTGACTGAATCTGGCACTACCTGCAAAGATCTCAAGAACGTGGATCTTTCCTTTACGTACACAGTTCCAATGTGCTTGTTCAGGAATGGATGTGAAGTCCTCCGCGAACATGGTCTCTGCTGGCCAAGGTGATGCAGGCCGTCTTCCCCGCAATGCGCAATGACTTAGAGGATGCTGGCTGAGGAGTTGGTGTGGATGATTCCCTCTTGGAGTCGGATGAAGAGCCGCTTTGTTCCTTCTGCAATGATTCCTTCACTTCTCATCTGGTAGAAGAAAATCAATTCCAGGTTTCCTAGAAGGGATGGTTTCATCCTTTCTGACCTTTGTCATGTTGACCTTGATGAGTCTTGTTCCAAGATCAAGTCCAACCATTGCTCCTTCCAAGGAAATGACTCTTCCTTGTAGCCAAGTTCCTCCTTTGCTTCCATCGGAACGGATCTTGGATTTGTCTTCCTGCCAGTAAAATACCTTGTCCTTAACCTGAAGAGGTTTTGAACTCACTCGGAGATTCTGAGCAAGGTCTCGTCGGATGTCTTCGGATTGACGAGCTTCTTGGAATGCCTGCTTGGCCAGCTGCTTGATCTGGATGGTTGTAAGCTCTTCTTCATTCCTGTCGATCGTCAACTGAGTAGGTGTTGCGACATGAAGCTGGATGAGATCTGCGGGTCGTCTTCCGAATGCAAGTTTCAAAGGCGTTACACCCCCGTAGGTGACGGTCTGATTCCTGACAGTTGCAGCTGCTTTGACAAGTTGTCTGTATGTCACTTTCTTCATTTTTGCAGGTGCTTTGCCTGACTTGATGGAATTGAGCATGATCTTAAATTAAGCCGTCAGGAGTTGAACTGCTGATTCAGCTCGATTTGGCCGGCCCCAATGTGACGTCAAGGGATTGATAGAAATGTTCCCACGTCTCCGTCATGAAGGCTTGATCTGCGACAACTGATTTGGGCTGGAAGTGGTATTGGTCAAAGTAGTTCCTGAGGACAGTGGTCTTCTCGGATTCTCTCGTAGTCATCACTGCCTCTGCAGTGAGCAATGTTGTTGCTCCATCCAGGATGACAAAAACAATGATGTGTTCTCCATTTCCAACAGGAGCTTCGCAGTGATCAATGAACGTCATGTCACCGAATGTGTCCGCTCGAAGTCCACTCGTCTTGCTTCGTGACGGTGCTTGTTTTGCTGCTTGGCAGACTTCACATTCACTTCGGATTTTGTCAAATAGGTCGTAGGTTGACTTTGGCAAATGAAGCGCACGGGTTCTGAATCGATATTGGTCGGTTGTCATGTGATGATGCTGAAGGTGGAGTTTCTTCCACTCTTCCGGCTTTGACAATTGCTGGTGGATTCTGCCTAAGGCGAGTGGAAGTGATGTGGGTTCTTCTGTGGACGGTGCTTTACGATCTGGCTCAATATTCGACTGGCCCTTCTTGTCAATGATCCTGTCTACTGCCGATCCTGAACCTGCTTCCTCGTCCTGAGTGAGTTGTCCGAGAAGGCGAAGACGGTCTTACCTTTCCACAGGTTAATCGTTGGTTTATTTGCCTGGGATAAAAAGTCACCAATTGTCTTCTAGGATGTCTGGATCTCCGCCTTCGATTGCAGCAAGAATTTCCGTTGTACGCTCTCGGCTGATGTTGTCAGGATTGATTGGACATTCTTTTGCTGCACTGGGTGTGAACAGTGCCTTGCGAGGCGTCAGGCGCACACGGATGAGCTGCTTGTTCTTCTTGTCAAGAATCCAATGAACCTGCTTCAGAGACGGAATGATCCTAGGAGTAGCTGTTTCCTCCTTCGTCTCGGACGACTTGGCTGCACAAACAGTCTCACTCCTGGACGATTCCCAGGAGGGAAACTTGATGCTGTTGTCATCATCGTAGACGTAGTTGGTAAGTCCTTTGACAGCAATTTCTCCATATAATTTCACTCTTGCCACTCCAGCAAGGTCGACTAGTGCATGTCCGGCGCCGGATACTGGAACTGCTTGACGGTCCATGCCAAAGGCCTTGCGTGTGATCTTGTCACATTAAGGTGTGTGTGCCCAATGGTCATGTAGAGGGTTCCGCATCTGGCTGATGCTTAGGAGGATCGGTACAGCTTCTTGTTCTCGGGTGTCGATGTTGGTTTTGCCTGGCGGAGTTGTGTGATATCTGAGATGCAAGGTCCAATTTACCTCAGCTGTCTGTTTCTTGGCAAAAGTCAACTTGGTCTCGGCCGGGATGTACTCGTAGGTGATGAGCTTCATGAATTCGATGGTCTGAGTAAAGCTGCCAGCTGCCCATGAATCTGGTACAACCGTTGGCCAGGATCGCATAGGTCGGATGGTGTCGAGGGTTGATGACAGGCGCCATCAGGTTTGTTGCCAAAAGGCTGTGATTGGCTGTCACGGACAGATTCTGTTCTGAAACTGCATCGGATCTGCAGCTCATGGCGGATGGCTTCTTTCTCACGCTGCTCGCATGCATCATGGAATGCCATTAACGCTTTTCCGGCGCTGGATGTCTCATGGGATGAGTACCAGCCTTGCTCCGTCCAACCGGCATAGGTAGGCTTTGGGAGTTCAACTTGCGGTGTGGCAGGCTGCTCCTCCGACTTGTCTGCGATGGCTGCGAACGTCTTGGATTTCCTTTGTCATGTCCGCCTTTTCCTTTGCCATTGTCATAGGATGGGATAACCTATGTTTCCACCGAAGGGATACTGGAATTTTGATTTTCGTTTCTTTCCCTTCTTGCTTTTGCCTTTTCTCCAGTATGCCTGGTCGTAGGGAGTATAGTTTTCATTGGCCATATTGCCCTTCCCGCCAGAACCGCTCTTCTTGAAGGGTTTGAAGCCACCTCGTCGGTGACTGCCCTTGTTGCTTCCTGATTTTCCTTTTCCTTTCTTCCTTTTGAACCTGAAATTCCGCCCAGACACTTTTCTCGCAATGAACGCATCGTTCTCCTCGAGGACCCAAAGCGTCTCTTCATCGTTGTTCGACATGAATCCTTATTGTCCTTCTTCATCCTCAACCCAAAAGCCTTCTTCTCCTTCGGTTCACCTTGTTCGATCATGAAGAATGTGTTGCTTCGGTTGCCTCCTTGAGGTCGGATGGATGGATCTTGGATCGATGTTCTGGTCGTGATGGAAAGGTCGTGGTATTGCGTCTTCAGCATCTCATAGGTGTAATTCTCAAGTGTGATATTCCTCAGAGATATTGCAGTTGTCAGCCTTTCTCTCTGCTGCTGGTCTGACATCTCGCTCTGGATGATGAAAAGCTGCGCTATGAGATTATCCTCGAAGGGAAATGCGTCCCGTTGTCTCTGCTGCATTCCTTGGATGAATTGTCTTTGGACTGCTGGATTGTCCTCTTGGAGTACAGCAGGAGGCGGGGCTCTGGCACCGGCGGCTTGCTGGTGTCAAGCCAGTGTTCTCCGGTTTGCGTCATGTACTGACTGTCGAAATTCAGGAGACTGTGCCGTGTATACGGGCATCAGGTCCATCCAGGCTGCCTTCAATCGCATCAGAAGGATTTCGAGTTTTGATGTGAATATGAGGAACTCAGAGTTCTGCCGGTCTGTAAAGGCGTACGTTCGTGGCACCTTTCAAGAAGTACTGCTTCAGCGAGTTCTTGAAGTAATTGACTTCAGGATCTTGCAGTCGGTCGCTCTGGAGGATTGCCTTGTACATGTAAGCATCTCCAATGAGTCTGCTCGTCCTCGCTTGGATGCTTCGATCGTCGTGAAGGTTGTCCAATCATCTACGAGTTCTTCACACCTGAACCAGCTGACTTTTCCGTCGTACGATGTCGGCTGCTTGGCGGTCATCGACAAATTGAGTGCCTCTTCAGTATAGCCGGGTGATCTGGCTGCTGGAATAGGCTTCCATGAAGCTTTCTCCATCGGATGACATGGCTCCTGGATTTTGCGGAAAACCCGCACCGCTACCTGTGGTCCCTGGATCTATTCCGCAGGAAGTCCAATATATGCCAATATGGAGTGCAAGAGAATGGATAGTCCCTGCTGATTGTGGTTTGCTGTAATACCTGCGAAAGCGGTCTGCAAGCCTTGTATCACTGTATCACAAGGCGGTAAGGACTATGCACACCATATGACAAAATGGGCCTTGAGCCAAATGTTGCGTGGAGATCAACATGTGAATCAAACACGCCCACCCACCACCCACCCGCCACCCACCACCCCACCCACCACCCCACCCCACCCCACCCACGGTGTCATAGGCTGTGAAGCGGCTGGAAGCTGCCACAAACGACGTATCGCCATGGCCTTATATGCGCAGTGAATGAAAGTGGGGGATGAGAGGTGCGGAAACTCACTTCCCGAGTTCCTTGATTTTTGTCACTTTTTGTTTTGGGCCGATTGAGTGGCAAACAAACAGTTTGGCGACTTTGTTTACTCGTTTGGAACAAAGGGATCCTCGAAGTGTATGCTTCGAGCTGTTTCTCGTGCAGCTCGATACCGACAAGGCACTTTGCCCAGATTGGAAATACCTAGTTTTGGGATCCCTCTCTTTGGAGAAAAAAGCCCACGTTGTTTCAGGAGTGCAGGAGTGAGGCTGAAGGCAATGTTGGCCCATGCTCACCACAGATGATCAGGTGACGTTGCTAGGTTGACGCTAGTAGAAGTCAAGCGCTTTGTTGTAACTCATGACCAATGTCCCTTCAATTGGCAGCAAATCCAGATAGACCCTTTCCCAGTTCTGCTGAGACCATGGTGATTTGCTTGCAAGCGCATCGATTCAACTCAAGTGGATGATGTTTTGGTACGTTTGGCAGCATGAGTGAGTACCACGGCGTGTCAAGACATGTTGATGGAGGTCGACTTGCCGCTCAGAGCAAGTCCCTTGTGTTTGGCAGCGCTTGGCTCACGATTCTTGTGTTTTGTTGAGCCCCATTACCGTTTTGCACAAAAAAGTATCCTTATTTTAAAACCTCTACTGGAGGACCAAGTTGGGTTCTGGGGCCCGTTGCCTTTTCTTGGGGGGAAGCCCTGAATCCAGTTCAGCCAATCAACTCTATCGATCCAGCCAAGGAGCAGCGAGTCTCGCCCGCGGCTCAGATTCTCAAGTTCTTCTTGCACCAGCTCCCCCAAAAAACCTTGGTACAAGGGAAATATATATATATATATAAGTTTACTTATTTATTTACTCATGCAGCACATACAGTATAACATATATGTATATCTCGAACAATATTTCCCCCGTCGTCCTTAACCCCCCTGTTCCTGTGGTTGATTTCTACCTTGATCTCCATGCAACCGTCTGGCTCAAGGCCCTTTTCTTGTACAAATTGCACCATTCATGCGATAGCTACCTCAAAGGACTATTGCAGGCCGCTTACAGTGAAACACAGTAATCAGAGCCACCAGGGACTATCCATTCTCTTCAAGTCCGTATTGGCATATTGGATTTCCTGCGGAATAGACCCAGACCACATACGCGATTCTTTACTACCACAAGGTATCCGTTCCCTACTGGGATAAGATACCCCCGGCAGTGGGACTCAATTTGTGGTAGCGGAGCGGTGTTGCGCGAAGATCCAGGAGCAATGTCATCCGATGGAGACGGCTTCATGGAGGCCTATTCAAGTACAGCCCGGTCATCCGGCTATACTGGAGAGGCTCAATTTATCGATGACCGCCAAGCAGCCGCCATCGTACGAAGTCAGCGGGTTCAGGTATGAAAAACTCGTAGATGATCGGATAACCTTCACAACGATCGAAGCATCCAAGCAAGGACCTCTCTACCAATACTCGTACGGCAATCAGGGATGGAACCACTACAGCGATTCGACCTGGAGAGATTTCGGTTACGGCAGTCAGTCTGACAGCAGCTATCATTAGTACAACAAGAAATGAGAAGCTATTGCGTCACAACGAATCACGACCAATTGATCCTCCTCGACGACAAGACTATTTTCAGTGAGAGATCAGTAGTTTCACATTGATCCCGCATGTACAAAGCGCTTTGCATCCTCTTTTAATACAGCTAGGTATCTCACATCAAGTGTACAAACCGAATTTCAGTTGCCACCAAGACTTTTCATTCGCGCAGCAAAAAGGATGAATCAACTATTTCGTGCTGGAGATCAAAAGAAATTTGTGTCTGTTTTGGTTGATTTATACCTTGATCTCCATGCAACCGTCTGGCTCAAGGCCCTTTTCTTGTACAAATTGCACCATTCATGCGATAGCTACCTCAAAGGACTATTGCAGGCCGCTTACAGTGAAACACAGTAATCAGAGCCACCAGGGACTATCCATTCTCTTCAAGTCCGTATTGGCATATTGGATTTCCTGCGGAATAGATCCAGGGACCACATATACGATCCTCTACTACTAAAGGTACCTCCCTACTACTACTGGGTGGGACTCACCCCTTTTTAATGGTATGAGTCCATCCAGGGGGGGGCCGGTGCTTGTACGGCCTCACTGTATGGAGCCATCCCCCCAAACAAAAAAAGAAGACCAAAAGCACGAAGGCGACTTTTAAAAATGAAGGCTCCCTATTGCGCATGTGATTCTGATGAGGCTGCTTAGGGCGCAAACAGGTTTTGAGACGAAAGGGCCAACCGAAGGCTTTCTTCAAGAACGTGATGACAGGCAGTTTGCAACGATAAGATGAGAAGCAACCGCCTCCAAAACGAAGGCGGCTATTTAACACGAAGGATTTAGAGATATTCCAGTTTGGCACATAAAGGTTTGGAGATGGCTACCCATTTTGTCCTTGCGAGAAAGGTTGACCTTGAAATAGCAAATCCTGTGGAAAATTGACTCTGGCTGAATAAGCTTTCCTGCAGTAAGCACGCCTGGCTGGCGGGGTGCTGAGGAGCATGAAAATTTGTTGTGATTGAGGGGCAGTTGGGTAGGAGATGCTGCACCCACGGCTGGTTCAGTGGGAGAACTCATTCCAGGTGTCCAATCAATATAACCAGGGAGATCACCCTGCATCACGCATGGCCAGATTTTTTTTGGGCAAGATTGCACGCCTCACTCTACACACACCCGCACACACACACACACACACACACACGCACACTCACACACGCACGCGCATCAGTGGTTGCTGAAGGGCAACGGTTACATGACCCGGCATCCAGTTGGCGGTGCTATAGGGCCGTTTTGATGCGAACCCAAATCTGATATTAGTCAATCCAACTTGAGTTTCCCCAAAACTGCTCCCCAAAAACCATCAGCTTTGGTTTGCCCAAGGCGTCGTGTTTTAGGCTGGTGTGTTCGGGGGGGTGGGGCAGTGGGGGGGGTCCTCAAAGGGTGTGTTGGGTGTGCTTACAAGCTCCCGTTTGACGGCGCAGCAAGGAAACGTTTCCCGGGCTGTTGATGGAGTCTGACTTGTGCGAAGCGTCCTCAGGTTCTGCGCAGTCCTTGCAGCAGCTGATCAACACACTTTCTGAGGACCTTTGGGGGGGGGGGGGCAGGTAGTTGCAAAATGTGTAGCCAGACCCGACGCGTCCAGACATTGAAGGCAATCCAAATAGAAACTCAAAAGCATTCAAGCATGTTTAAGCAGGGGGTTGGCCCAAGCCTGGCATGAGGTAATAATGAACAGTTTTTGTTTGTTTGCGAGAGGCAATATGTCGAATTCTTTGGGAGCGACGCAATTTGTGGTGGGTGCTTGGTTGGCAATCTGCTCAAGCATCTCTTGAGTATTGGTGATTCATTTGGCACTTTGGCCCGCTTTTAGGCATCTTTGGGACCTGGCATGCAATGCCGCTTTTTGGGACCATGCCAGACCCGGTTGCCAAACAACTTACATCTTGGATGGATCCGTGTCTCCGACTATCAGAGCATTGCGGTAAACAGCTATGGCATCTAGACTTTTTATTGGATTCGGCCTGCTAAAATCTCAAACAAGTATATTTATTCCCATTGTTCTAGGGGATCCCCAAGTATTCCCAATCAAACAAAAGCTCTGTTCAACTGCCTTATTTTGGGAACCTTTAAACATCCCGAGTCTAACAGTTGGCAACTGTTTGCGATGGATTATCTTAGGTCCTTCGATGACCTGGGCTGGTTGTCCCTTGTATTTCCAGTTGCCGTCTTTTCTTTAGTTGAGGCGCAGCTAAATAAATAGAAAGCCAGCATCGTCATGAACGTGACTACCATCACCATTATCGCCACCACCGCCAGCGTCATTGGTATCATCAGTATTATCATAAGCGTCAGAAGCGTCAGTATCATCAGCACAGTATCATGAGTATCGTCCATGGTGTCATCTTCCTCATCCTCACCCTCATCATCAACATCATCATCATCATCATCATCATCATCATCATCACCATAATCGCCATCGCCATCGTATTCCTCATCATTGTCATCGTCACCATCATCATCATGTGAACGGGATCACATGTGGGGTAGATACATGAGAATCGTGTTGAAGGTCCTTGTAAGGAGTTTAGTATTCGGTGACCATCGGTGTTGCTTGAGGTATCTCCGCGAAAGATTCGCGATGGAGTTGCGAAAGTTTGCGTGTTGCGTCTTGTAAACCAGTGATATGTGAAACCATTCATTTTTCTGCTGAGTCTTCCTTCTAAGCTGATTAAAGCCTTTTGATTTTCCCTGATACAGCGTGGTGAGGCTACAGCTTGATGCCCTGCTTGGCTGGTTAGTGCTCCAAGTGTGTGGGTGTCAGTCGGTGGCTTTGTGATGTTTCGCGAAAGTTCCGCGAAACATCCGCGAAAGCCGCGCGAAAGCGCAGGCGTCAATTGCAAAGGAAGGGACTTTCTGAACGCCTCGCTAGTCAGTGTACTAGCTTGGTACTGAAAAGCTGCGACTTAAAGCTGGAGGTGTGCGGCTTACCTGTTGGAACTGCGGAAGTGCATGTCGTGTAATGGTACTGAAAAGTTACGACTTTCCAGCCGGAGCTGAGGAAACCCCTGGGATGAAAAGTTGCGACTTCACAGCTGGAGTTGGGGAAGCGCATTTTGCGCACTAAACTGGTACTTAAAAGATGCGACGTTTTGACTTGAGTAATGAAAAGCGCACGATGAATCCGCGAAAGATTCGCGAACGCAGCTGTTTTATTCGCGAAGAACGGCGGTCTCGAGACAAAGGAATTTAGAACAACTACATATATATATATATATATGTATATATATATATATGTATATATATATATAATGTTATGTTTCACGTGTATTATATATATACATACATGTATGTTTTGCCTCTATATATATATACACATATGGTCACAATCTCCCCAGGGCCCGCGCCCCTACTTTTTCACAGAAGATAATCATGAGCAAATGTTCAATTTTCACTTGGTGTGTAGATGCCTTGCATAAAACACTGAAATCACAGTTTTTGTTGAATATTTTTCTGTATTCTATCAGATGTCGTCTGTGTGCATGTTGCGAAATGCGAATCAAGCCAGCGAAAGCCGTGCATTTGCGGATGTTCAGTTTCCACTTGGTTTGCAGATGCTTGCCAAAACCACCGTCATTCACGATTTGCAAAACTAAGCCTGGCGAAGCCCCTTCAACTCTGGTTTGCGACTGAATGAGTTTGTGCTCAAGTTTCACGACAAAAGGCCCCAGTTGCTATTGCTGGATGCCGTTTATCATGTTTCTATGGCTTTGGGAGTAGGTATGGGCAAAGCCAGTTCTCTCGGACCAGGTTTTGCTTTTCGAGATCACCCATTTCAATCACATCTCCTTGCATCCATCAATTAATGCATTTTCCCAACAACAGCTGAAAGCCATTTGGCTCTTTGCCCCCAGATCCGCTCCGGGGCGGTCCCGCTCAAATCATCGGGCCTCGCCCTTCTCCTCGCGAGCTGAGCCCGGCGTTCCGCGGCGTTTTTCGCTTCGTTTCGCCTCGTTTCGCCCCAGGAGGTCCAGTCCTCCGAGTCGCAGATCGCGGCCTTCGAGCGGCAGCTGCGGAGATTGAAAGTGGCCCGCGGGCCCAGGCCTCCGGAACCCCCAGGCCACCGGACTTGTTTCTCGGTTTTTGGTTTTAAGGCGGGTAGGCGGCCGAAGGTGAGGTAGTTTATGTAGTTGGGCCGCGCGCCGTGTGTTGCCTTTCACAAAGAATGCGGTAGAGCAATGGCACAACTTAATGTCAACAGATTTGAGGTGCTCAGTTTGCTCCAATGGTGTCGTTGAAAGCTTCGTCGAGTGAAGCTGAGAGAGCGCGGTGCGCAGTTTCGACGTCCAAATTCGAAATTGCGCTTCGCCCCAGATCCAAGGTCCTGAGTTGATAGACCTCGTTGGTCTAAGCCGACAGTGAATCCCTCAAATTGTCTTTGAACGGGCGGATGCTCAATTTGTTGGACCCATACTTTTATTGGGAGTTCGAGTCTCGACCATGGCATTCTGATCTCCTGCCATATTTTCCAGACATCTCAATTTCCGGGATAGAATTTATAAGGGTGGCTACTCCTTACCAATGTTGATCTTCACTGCGATAATTTCTACGGGGCATTTGCCGATGGCAACCAGTTTGCGCATCCCAGTAAGCCGCTGTTGCCCTTTGCTTCTTAGCTTCCGGGAGCCCTTCACGTGAACTTTCCTACCAGGGCCTCGGGGAGAAGGGCGCATTAGCTTGGCTGACTTGATGGCTTGTTGACACCCTTGACACCACCTTCCAAGGTGTTTTTCTTTTGTTCGCAATCCTTGGCTGCAACATGAAAGGGCCCTTGCGAGGTTTCTAACCTTGGATCTTGGTCGGCATTGAATCCACACGCACTTCGGGCGCCATTCTCAGGTTCAAGGCGATGGCACCGGGTCAGGGCCTCAGTGACTCTGACACGAGATCCCGGGAAAATTGGGCGAACTCGCAGGGTTTTTCGGGCAGGGTTCGTTTGGGGGTGGTCAAAGGGCACTCGGCCCATTCCCATAGAATCTTCCTCACAATTTGGGCAATCGCGACGACGCAATCATCGACTAGCAGCGGTTTGCAAGATTTCACGGGGAAATCAACCGGCAAAAGCACTGACGACGCCGCCAGAACCATAGAGGATAGACATCAAGTGCGTGTGTTGGTCGTTGTTTTCCCTGATAACTGCTTTCTGATGATCCATATTATCCTTATTGTTGCGGGGTTCCACCATCCCCTTTTTTTGTGCTTGTTGAGGAGCATGGGTACATGCTCCAAGGGACTCGGGAACGCCAGTGGAGAGATCATGGCAGCTGGCTTGACACGGCCGAAAGTCGCAAGAGCGGGAGTCGGAGGATACTTCAGCTGACTCCTCGCGGTGGAGTTCTGCGAGGTGATTCTTGCACAGGTGGCTTCCACCTCGAGTCTCCATGACCCTTAAAAAATGGGTCCATGACCCCTTAATTTTGGGTAATGACCACATTGTTTAAGGCTCATGGAGACTCCAAGCAGCGGCCCTCAGATGATGCGACATGGGTGGAACAGGCTGTCGCCTGCTGGGCGCCTGCTGGGCGGGCGCCGAAGGACCTTGCTGTTTTCCTCAAAGTAGGGGAGCCCCCCTTTCGGATACCGTTTTTCAGATCAACATGGAAGCCCGGAAACCTTCACTTGCAGAGGCAACTCCTTTTTGGGAACCCCTTTTGAGATTGTCCCTACTAATTTGCTGGGGGGGTCGCCTTTTTCTCCCAGAAAACTCACAGAACCGTTTTAAGCCACAAGGATCCCCTTCCGAATTGCCTCGAGGCCCTTGCGGAGGCGCCTGCAGCGGGCTGAGAAGCTTCTGGCCGATGCCAGAAGCGACCTGAGCTACCTGCAGGCGGGCAGATCGGAACCCAGCGGTTATTGGGGTGCCATGAAACCCCACGCCTCCAGGGGTCTCCTCTAAAACGATGTTAGATTGGCTTGTAGACATACAAAACAGGCGGATTTCCAGTGTGCGGGTTCCTTTCTTCGGTTTGGAGAGTCCCTGCCCCGTCTGACCGGGTGTTGTTTATCCCAGATGGTCCCAGATGGTAATGTTGGACCTCCTTTATTAATAGTACTCTCTATTGTGGGAACTTTTTTCTAATTCAGAGTCCTGTGACTGTTTTATGGGTTCTCTATTATATTGTGGAAAGTTATTACCGGAAACAACGCTGGGAAAAATATGGGCAACACACTTGGCAAACAAGTCGGGCAAAAAACAGGCAACCAAATCCTGGCCAACATTGGGAAATGGTTGTGGTCCCCAAACCATCAAATTTAGGATAACTTCTTTACACAAAAGTGCGGGCAAACAGTCACACAAAGGGGGGTGCCCACAAGAGGCCCAGATCCTCTTTAATGCGACTGTTTTGGGGTCCTCTTTGGTGTCCAACTGGTTTTGGGGGTTGCTGAAAAAAACGACCCTTGGCAATACTAAAGTAGAATTGGCAATACTAAACTAAGTACTGCGGATGTGAGAGTCAGCCTTGGCAATACTAAAGTAGAATTGGCAATACTAAAGTAAGTACTGGGGATCTGAGAGTCAGCCTTGGCAATACTAAAGTAGAATTGGCAATACTAAAGTAAGTACTGGGGATCTGAGAGTCAGCCTTGGCAACATTAAGTAGTAGAATTGGCAATACTACAGTAAGTACTGGGGATCTGAGAGGGAGCTTTGGCAATACTAAAGTAGAATTGGCAATACTAAAGTAAGTACTGCTCCTCCCGGACCCCCAGGATCTCACTAAAGAGAGCCCCTCCGACTGGTTCCACTGTTCAGGGGGGGGGGTCACACTAAAGAGAGTCCAACATTAATAGTTTCCCTTGTAGTGCCCCACGACGGATTACAGATTAGGGATCCCCCATGTTGAACGGCATCCTAAATATTAAATCTGGACCCCCCGAAATAGTGGTTCCTTGAACTCTGAAAAGAGACTCGGACAGGGTGCAGGATATTGTAAGGAATTTGAGTCACGCTGGACTGTTTTTTCTCACCGACACGCAGCAAGCAAGCACACACGCAATGAAGGAAGCAAGCAATCAAGCAAGCAAGCAAGCAATAACCCTAAACCCACCCTAGACACACCCGAGAAAACAATCCTAAACACCCTAAAACAACCCCTAAACCCACCTGTCATCCGCCCCTAACCCACCCTAAACACACCCTACCCCCAACCTAAACCTACAGTTTTGCCACCCTAAACCTAGCCTCATGAAACAACCCTAAACCCACCCGAAGCCCGCTCTAGAATGGTTTCGATTAAACAAATCCCAGCAGGCAAATGGGGGACACATTCCCACGAAGCAAGCAGCCTCCGTAGTATAATATGCCATTGTAGATGGCACTGAACTTGATACACAGTTGCAAGTTTGCATTGTCAGCTGGAACATGGCGTGTAATCTGAGCCCACCGACGACTTCCTAGCAACTCAGCAGATGAATCCGATTGGCCTTCCCGCAAAGGTAACAACTACAGAGTCTCCAAAGCTGTTTAGCTGTTAACATTGTTGGCATGTGGTTGGATGCCAGTACAGGACTCCAGATCATAAGGCATGCGCCAGATGAAGTGGTAAATACTATTTCTGGGTCAAGAGTTCTGATGGGCTGGCTCAATTTGACACTTTTAGTTGCCGTGCATTTGGTTCAAGCCAGGTAGAGTGCACTGCTGTATATTCAGTGAGTTTCCTCATCGTGACCAGCATTTCAGAACTCTTTGAATTGCTTGGGCAGGTTCCGTGTGGTAGCAAAGCTTTGCAACAATCCAGTCACAAGCCGCTGTTAATTGTCTAGCAACGAGCCCACGAGCAACCAAGCAAGAGAGCAAGTGGGCATATCTCAAGCATGGTGGCTTTTTGGTTTTGTTCAAACAAACCTGACAAGGGTACCCATTGTCCAACGATCATGGAAGTGGACAAGGGGCCTCCCCAAAGGAAATTGGCCTCCCAAAACCGACCTGTCATTTTCCATGATTGGAGGGCACCCTCAAAACACAGAAACCCAAATGGTTCTGAACTTTAATAGGGACCCACAGCAGTGGTGGACATAAATCTCCATGATGTCCGCCAAGGGTCCCTAGTTAAACATCACGCCCCCAATCATGGTTGTTGCTGGGAAGCATTTTGCACTTTTGCTTATTGTGGTTTAGTGTTTGAAATCCCCACATAACTGCTAACAAAAATAAAATGTTGCTCCCCTTCCAACGTCAACCAAGCAATTGAGCAGAGAGCCTTCCCTCGACTTGGAGCAGTTTTCCAGGCCTTTCAGGCGGCGCCCTGGCATCCTGAGAAGCCCGGGCCGACGAGCGACCAGTCGATGTCAAGGAGTGTTGAGGGCAATTGGCTGTGGGTCAAACCAACGGGTACCCCAAAATGGTAGGTGCACCACCCATGTTGAATCATTTAGGGAAAGTAGCTTTTGAAAAGAACAATGGTTTGAAAATAATGTGTAATCAACCCCTAGAGGTTTGGAAGTTGCGTGAGGGGATGCTAGCGCAGGATGCGGAGTTTTCTCCAAAAATGATTTGGCACCAACGGGAAGCTGCACAATTTTGACAAAGATTGGAGACAACCGCATGCCATCATTCAGGGGGTCACCAAAAGGCAAGGACCTGTCGTGCCCGGTTGTTCCGTCTCTAGAGGGAGGTCGTTAAGAAGCTGTACGGTTCTGTTCACCTTTCTTGGTGCGTCAAGTTGAAGACACCGTGGCATTGAATGCATGGTCACCAAGTCCTGCAAAGCGGGCCCCTGTTGAGAGACCCACCACCGTTGCTCATGCAAAGAGTCTTGGCCACGCGCAAGCGCGGGAATTTGTTCATCGGCCAATTGGGGGCAGTGCGCATCAGGGAATAGCAGTTGAATAGCAGCAACCACAGGCAATCGATACCATCCAACTCTTTGGTATCGTCAAAGAGGCCTGGGATCCTTGAGGCAAGTCCCTGATCCATTGCGAAGGTCAAGCCCCGGCCAAATCGTAGGTGTCCCAAAAGGGAACTATGCTCACCCGCACGCGTTTGTACCGAACAAGCAGGGTTTTTGGTGGAATATTTCTTTTGGCAGGGGTCTATAAGTTTTCTACCTTAAAAATGGCCGCAGCCAACCTTCGCAAGTCGCTGGGTAGCTTGTCTGGTCTGGGTCGACGGCAACTTCTGAACTCTTGGCTGTGTGAAGACACTGGCCGTGTGACAGTTCAAAAGGCATTTGTCATGGGTATCAAGAAAAAAATCGAGTCTATGCCTGCTTTTGATCTAGAAAGCGGACCAGGAATTAGATTCCAAGCTACGCACTGGTATGGCAAGCATGCTGCCAACGACCTATCTCAAATTGATACCCAGAACATTCTCTTGATTTCAAATTTCATTCCCGGATTCAGATGCAATCACTTCAAGGTAGCCAAATGCAATCACTTCAAGTCAACAATTTTATGTATGAATTCAATATGTCCAAAGCGGTCCCGCGTCTCAGCAAGTGACAGGCAACTCCTCGCCGCAATCACAGAGGAGGCGTTCCAGAGGCTGGAGGCAGGATGATTCGGTGGGCAAACACCCAACAAATCTATCACACCCGCCTCAAAAACCCTCGAAACACCCACCCCAAAAAAATCACACACGTTTTCTGGGAAAGAGTAAACATCAACAGGGAAAGAGCAAAGTAGACAAGTTTTGGAGGTGTATTTGGGGGGTGGTGTGTTTGGGGGGGTCCTAGCAAAAGTTCTATGCTAACGTTTTGAAAGGGGAAACCAAAAGGGGACGGAGATTTGACCATTTTGTCCAGACCATTTCGCACCCATAGTGTTTGAAGTTGTGTTTCGCAATAGCCAACTGGGTGGGGCGAGCCCTCGCTTCTAGGTTCTAGGTGCTGGGGCTGAATATTGTGTCAAAACGGGCCCCAACGTTGGGACAGTTTTGGTTAAACGTACGCCAAAAGCAAGCACCAGGTGCTCCTTGTTTCGTGGGCGAGTGAGGTTTGTTATTCTGAGCGATGCAAAAATAAGGAGAACGTCGTCATCCGCAGTTAAACTTATAACTCTTGTTAAGCTGCACTACATCACCAGCTTTCCTCTCCGACAGGAATATTTGTGTTTTCATTTGTGCCATGGTCAAAAGAGTCGCTTACTCGTAAAGGGCTTTGTAGTGGGCTTTGTAGCTTGTAGGGGGCTCAGACCAGGTAGATCCATGTAACGTGATGAGGCCTGCTTGAGTTGTGAGAGACACATGCACACACCATGGCAAGCATGATTTCACAGCGGGCTTGATGGTTGGGATGTGCCCGTTGACACGTTTGAGCGCTCATTGGCAGTATCACTGGGGTGAAACCTTCTTGTTTCAAATGGGATTCTCAAAAACATCAGCCGCTTTGAAGGTATCACTTTTGCGGAGTCATTCTGGAGGGGGTTCCTTGTGGTTTCAAGTGGGATTCCAAAAACAACCGCCACTTTGAGGGTTCCATGAGACAACCAAACTTATATCCCGCACCCTCCCCTCAACGGCTGCATTTTGGGAAGCACCTTGGGCGCCCACAGGCAGCAGCAGACAAAGCCACGGCTGCTTGCAGGGCCAGGCAGGGGCCCTTGAGATCGAGTTGCCCGGGTGGGCGCTCCCAGCAGCCAGTGCGCTTTTTTTTCTTCTTCTGGACTCAGGTTCCCTTTGAATTTAATAACAATAATCACAAGGATGATAAGAAGCATAGGTGTCCTGTAACCAATAATGAGTTGACCTGTTCGAACCTGGTTTCCTTTGACTCTGTATGAGTGTAAATAGGGGACCCCTCCAAAATGGTTTGTGGACAGATGTACACCCATATCAGTCGCTCGCGCAGGTGCAAAGTGGAGCTGCAAAAAGCGCGAAACGTCTTGGATCTGGCTACGCGCTTGCGCGAGGCCGTGACAGGCCGGTGTGTTCACCGCACGCAGCAGCACTGACACTGCGCTGCCAACGTTTAAAGAAAAAAACACTATCCTATGTTGTACGGCTGTCAACTTGGTTCAAGCAGCGATGTTCCATGATAGTTGCGCTAGCAATGGTATGGTATGCATGAGAATGTTAGCCCAGACACCTGATGGTGGCCGCTGGTACCTGATTTTGCCAAACTGCCTGATGTGCTGGTTTTCAAGAACTCTCAAGTGGGGATGTCCCTGCGGCTGCTGAAAGCCGCCACATGTTTTTGTGAAGCCCCTTCCCTTTTTCAGGTTCAACGACTGCTTTTTGTCCATGTCCTGTCCAACACCCAGTTGCTGCCCAAATAGACAGTCCTGAGGATGCTGTTAGATATGGGTGTGTGCCAAAATAGGGTGACCACCAGCATGGGTGGTTTCCCTTTTGGTTGTCCTTCAAATAAAGCCCAAAACCGGTACCCTCAAGAAATGCACACCCTTTGATTGGTTCCAGCACGTGTCCGGTTTTTGCAATGTCACAGGCATTCGGCGCTGGCATGCGCAGGGGCGATAAGTCAGCTGGAAACACCTCAAGCGAGCTTTAAAACCGGTGTATTGCCCCAAGATGGGGCGAGTCTTGTTTTCAAGGGCAGTTCAAGGGCAGTTAATGTAGTTGAAGGGTGCAGATACCGGGTTCCATTGACAGGGTAAGACCGTCTTTTCCAAAGCCAAAAGGGGAGGGGTCCTTTTCGGGTCTAAACGGACACCAACAGCTTCTATTTGCTTAAGAATATGAATTATGTTTCCCTCATGGCTTTAAAGGGAATCTATCACTACTGGAAATATATATTTTTTTATAGGTTTTTTAAAAAATATATATTATTTTTCCAGGGGCTTAAGCACATGGAAGACAAGAAACCGCCATCGGGTTCCCCTCAGGTGCATGAAGCCCATCCTTCCATGAGAGGCCACGATGAAGAGAGTTTGGAGAAGGCCTTGGAGACGGCGGAGAGCTGGGGTCCGGCCCCAAGATGTTTCCAATTGTTTGCCTGGGGATTGCTCACGAAGCGGGTACCCTCCCCAACTAACATGGGTTTGTGCAAAAAGGCCAACTTTCCAAGAGGAAAGTAGTCTTTCTGCAGGGGTCTGTGCACTTCTATGTTAGCTGGTGGGAGGGTATGTGCCAAGATAGGGCCCCCCCCAAAATGGTGGTTTACCTTTTGGCCTAGAGTCAACACCTTGCTTGAACAGTGTTTGTCAATGTTGTCTCGTGCAAGCACAATTTGAAGAACACGTGAAGTCCATGGCGGTTGAAAGGACCAGATTCAGCATCGAGTTGAGAACATGACGCTGCTACCCACGAGAATGGTTCTCAGAATCCTTCCAAGAATCCTTCTAAGAAAGTTGTAGGAACCCTTCCGGTTTGGGGGGGCGTTGGGTTTTGTCCCTTGAAGACGCCTTGTCGATCTGGGTTGATCCCCCGATATGTTCACCCGTTTCGCTTCCGACACCCACTGTCAGGGATGCTTATATCTGTGTTTATTTACCACAAAAGATGAGTTTAATTGCAGATCCCAAAAGGTCGATGTTTACTTGGTGGTTCCCAGCCCCCTTTGTCTTGTTTCAAGTTCCTTTTACGGCTGAGTGCTACAGACACATCCCATGTCACCCACCAGCTTAGAACTTCCAGTGATGTTGAATTCCCACTAAACCCAAAAGATAAAAACTGTGGGGTGGGGATGGAGGGTTCGATTTCTCCCAAAGCTCCATTTGCTTAAGAACAATTATGGTTGATTTTCCCCTGTTGGTTTTAAAGAGAATCGATTTCACTGCTGGACATACTGTGGATGGACGAAATTCTGCAAACCTGTTGGTTTTAAAAAACCGGAATCTACAATTTCACTGTACGTATATATATATATATATATTATCATAAAGGGGGCGGACACGCACCTAGCACCGCCTCGCGGAGCGCCCTGCGCGGGATCGATGGATCCGAGGGCTCAGCGGCCTGGAGGCCGCGGAGCAGCGCTGCGAAGAGCTGCGCCAGGAGAAGCCGAGGCCCAAGGAGTCTGCCGAACCGGGGGCTTCGGGGGGGTTTTTGATACAAAGCAGTGGAGATGTTTTTAGATAGCAAGCCCATTTTGTCATATTCTGCCTGACTTGTCTCGTTTATGCCCAGAAACCCAGAAAGCGGCGTGGAGTTTTCCGGTTTTCTGCTGCGACCACCGCTTCGTCTGTGCCACTTCATCTGTGCAGGCCATGTCTTGCAGGGGTTTTGCTTGTTCAAACGGGGGAATTGCTTGAACACAGCCATGGGCGTCTGGCCGGGCAGCAAGATCGCAGGCCGCTCCGCAAGCAGCGGTCGCATTTTTCACAGATATCCGGTTCGTTCTTTTTGGTTTGGACTCATGTCCTTTGTTTCTCGGACCCTGTGAGGTGGTTTTCCATTGGGTCGACAGAAGCCATTTTTGGCTCAGGGCTGAGAGAGTTGAGTAATGTTGACCCTGCATTGATTGATTTGCCTATGAATATGATTTCCAGACGCCTTTTTCCAGGTGAGCAGCTCTAAAAACCCCCCGTTACATCCCAAGCAAGAGTTGTGTCAGAACAAGGCCGCGCGTAAGCAAAACCCTGCACGGCGTAAGCCGGCGTAAGCACTGTTTGGGGAAACATGCTGCGTAAGCACCTGCGTAAGCTCTTCTTCGTGGTGGCTTGGTAAGTTTTGTAAGCACGCGCGGAAGAGTTGTTTCACACATGTGCTTATGTGTTTATTGGTGGCTTGTGCTATTGCTGTTGCAACCTAGTCGAGCTTTGCAACTTGCCCGGAGACTTTGGCTGCAGGAAGACGTCTAAGACCGCATGTGCACACCAATAGAAAACACAACCAGCAGAACTTTGATTGGGAGCTTTGGGGCTCATGCTAGGTGCTGTTGCAACCTGTACTAGGACAAACAAAGGCTTCTGAAACCGCTGATCTAGGAAAACTAAAGCGGCTCGGGCGCGTAAGCTCGCGTAAGCAGGCGCGTAAGGTTCGCGTAAGCTCGTCTAGCTGGGCTGCCCGCTAGCCCTAGCGATGGATGCCGCTGCCACGTAACCCGTTTCTTGATTTGCAGTTATAAGAACAAACATGCCAAGCCGATGAAACTCGTGAGGGCAGTTCTTCGTCATCTTCTTCCTCAGGGTCACCCACTTCACCTTGATGGTGGCTGCATGAGAAAAGGAGCCCGCGTAAGCAATTCTTGGGGCGAAACGCTCAAAACGCCCACGCGTAAGCGATGCGTAAGCTTAACATGATCGCTGACTGCCGCGTAAGCGAAAACATGGGTTGCGTCAGGAAAGCGTACGCTCGCGCGTAAGCAACTTGATACGACATAGGGATTCATGGGAGGTTTATAGAGTCGCTCAGGTGTTGATCTCGTTTGTCGGGTTTGCAGAGCAATCAAGCAAGTGGGCAACGGGGAGGATCCCCAGGACAATGCCCTTACTTATCAACCAGGAGTTCAATAAGGGGCCCAACATCTTCCGTTGAGAAGCTGTCTTGCTCTTTGTTGCTTTGCTTCAGCACGTGAAAAAAGGGAACCCTTAAGGAGACCTTTTTTCACCGGCAAACCCCGTTTCCAGGCCCTGCGGGCTGAGAAAGACGGGCATAGGGAACTGTGGTCTTCAAGTGGGCTGGTAAAACTCGAACGAAGACGCCGGAGGTTCTGGGGTGTTGCTGGCTTTTAGGGACAAGCAAGTGAGTGCCTTGCCTTCTGCTTCGGGGCCTCCTCCAAAACTATGTCATATATATATATATATATTGGGCGAGACGAAATATGAAACATATTATGGACGATTTTCAGTGTACTACCAGAAAGCAAATATCCAGCCATACGAGTCATTCATTTCGAGAGGCATGTCGCAGGCTGGAAAAAGAAGACTTGACATGGGGCACACTCACTAAAATACCATTAGGACATAGGGGGAGCCACAAATCTCATGTGATCGGGGAGAGCAATGACTGTTGACTGTGGCTCACGAACCGCTGGTCCGCAGTTGATTTGCGGAGGGGGACCATGGGGGGCCAATTCAATCCCTTTGGGAACATCTGGCGGACCCAGCACTTTGGATGTGACTTGGGAATTAGGAAAAGCGAGCTAAGGTCAGTAGCACCAGTTTTCCTTTTTGCTCCAGACTCCAGATGGTTCTCGCTACAAATTGTTCCACGTGTCCATAGCAAAGAATTCTACATCAGTGGCCCCAAACAATGTCAGTCTTGGTTGTCTACTTAATCATGCTGCCACTGCCTAACAAAAGGCTGTTTCCAAATTTGGATTTCCCGAATGGACCCCGCAATGATTGACAAGCGCCTTTGGATTTGGCGAGGGTGGTTCACTGCGAATTTGGTATTCAGCCATTTGTTGTAAGGGGAACGGGGGAACCGTTT